CAAAGTTCGTTCTCATAGGAATGCCGACAACTTGTTGAAAAAGTCTACCTCCAAATTCAACAAATATGTTGTCAATCAGAAACTCCAGCATACTGATCTCTGTGTAGCATGTTTTACCTTTTTGTTCACTATTAACAAAATATGCCGTATGGTATCCCAAAGTAATAAATTTTAGCGTATGCAAATGTTTATCGTGGTTTTAAACTGCAATCAATGTATATTGTGATTGACAAAACTATTTATTAAATCTTACTCAAAGAGAATTGCCAATGTTTGTAAATGGAGTAAAGAGAGAACGAAAAGTAGTATTTGAAGTATATCGTTTGAATAATTCTAAGTGATTAACAATTAATCCATAAAGAAATATTTTGGTCCGCAGTTAATTTAGACCACTTTACTGCAATTCCTAAAAAAAACATTTTTGTGTAAAAATGCGTCATTGATATTTTGAAAAACGTTTAATTAGAGGAATTGTGTATTTAGAAAAAGCAGGATATGTTATTTTACAAATTGAATTGTCTATTCATTAACCTTTTACTTTGATTTGTCAGAAATTGCACCGGATGGATATTTGACATTGTCAAAAAGATAGTACATACGATATGCTTTCAAAAGGTATATGATATTATTACTAACTTATGATTAAGAGTTATTGAGTCCGTTTTTAACTTTATATAAAATAATCTGGTTAGATAGAATCAAAGAAAAAAGTAAAATGTTGATGCGTTCGGTGTATATTTCTTGGTTAAACCCGCCTAAAATGTTAAATGTTGGGATAGGTGGACGTCATAAGTACGAGATAATTACAGAGATCCATTCAAACGCACATGTTAAACCTACAAAATATGAACTCTCTGTGACTTTGTCGCACAAAATAACATTTTCAGTTCGGTTTATATTTTCCTTCAAGGGATATAATAAACGAAAGATTCGTTTAGTGTGTCTGATTTTAGACTCAAAAGATCATAGTTTCCTGAAAATTTAAACGTCATTCATTATTTTATTGGGTCAGTTCGATAAAGGAGCAACGCGAATGAAAAAGAATGAAAAAGAATGGACACAAAAATGTTCCTTTAAATATGACTGAATAACAAGCTGAAAGTTATGATATTAAGATTAAACTACGTGTTTCAAACTTGCAAAGAGCAATTCCAACTATGTGAAAAGACTGAACCTATTAGGTTTAACAATAAAGGCATTTAGAAAATAAAATGCTTTGCCGAGCGCAATCTGATACGACCGCAGAGGTCGAACCCTGAACAGTTTGGGCAAGTTTGGACACAATATTCAAGCTTGATACTGTCTGAATTTGGATTGTGATCAAATTTTGACATAATATAGGTTTCTGATACAAAATAAATGTGGTCAAAGATCTTAAAAATTTGAAATGGAACATTTGATTTACCTAGTATAGTCTGATATCCAAAATCTAACAACATGGTTAGATTCAGCATATAAAAAACACCAAAAATTAAATTTTAGTTGAAATCATACAAAGTTTAATTTTGGACCCTTCAAACCTTAATATGGACTAATTTGAAAACAGGGCCCAAAATAAAAAATCTAAATGCACAATAAGATTCAGCATATCATAGATCCGCAATAATTCAGTTTTTGATGAAAAATTTTGGCCCCTTTGGACCTCAATGTAGACCAATTTAAAAATGGGGCCCAATATCCAAAATAGTAATAGAAGGTTAGAACCCCCAAAATTAAACTTTAAATTAATCCCATTGAAATTGGTTAAAAGATTTGTATTTATTTTCAATTGAAGATTTCTTGCAATTGCGCAATACTGTGCTGTTGCACAATACTTACTAATAGTTAATCTGTTATATATAATAATTTACACACCATGTTCGGTGTGTATCTCCTGCCATATCAGTATATGTTGCTGTTTTATATAAATCAGAAATAATCAATGTAAAAATGGAAAATATTTGGGAAAAAAAACCCAAAAAATTATGAAAAAAAAAAATCCCCCTAAAAAATTTGTCCCCCCCAAAAAAAATTGTTTTGAAAAAATTTGAAATTTTGAAAAATCTTGAAGAAAAAAATTATGAACCCCCCAAAAAAAAAAATTTCAAAAATTTGAAAGAAAAAAAATATGAACAATTTCAGAGAGTTCCATAAACTTTAACACAAGTTATTGTCTGGAAACTAGAAAAATGTTTTTTTTTGGCCCCTTTTTTGCCCCTAATTTCTAAACGTTTGGGGCAATTACCCCCAAACTCAATCACAGCCTTCCCTTTGTGGTATGGAACCTTGTAGTACAATTTCAGAGAGATCCACACACTTAAACACAAGTTATTGTCTGGAAACTAGAAAAATGCTTGTTTTTTGCCCCTTATTCCTGAACGTTTGGGGCAATTACCCCCAACTCAATCCCAGCCTTCCCTTTGTGGTATTGAACCTTCTGGTAAATTTCATAGAGATCCATTCACTTAAACTAAAGTTATTGTCTGGAAACCAAATGTGTCTTCGGATGACGACGACGACATGATAGCATTATATGAAGGCAAATCTTTTGCGGTCGTATAAAAACTTGATATCTAAACAGAAGGTGAATGAAGTTCCAGTGAAACTGTTGGACAGACATAAATACACACAGCAATGATTCTATTGACCACACATATATATAGTTAATCTGTAACTTGGTGAAAAAATCGCCAGTTTGCTAATTAGTACTTTTATATGCACACACTATAGTTACTCTTTGTGTTGCTGATTATTTTTGCAATTTACACGTTTAATACATATATAGATTAGAGATAACAGCAAACAAGGAAGTAGCTGTCAAATTGACAGCAAAACTGTTTTTTCTTATTTTGGAAGGCACTTTCCGGATTTTTTTTACCTGACACATTCTATGAATATTTTCCAACCTATCAAGGAACATAACTCCTGAACGGCAAAAACGAAAATCATTAATATTAAAATTGATCATCATTTTGTCATCAATAACAGGATATTAAAATTTTAAGAGCATTGGCTGTACTTTTTATAAGTAATTGCACCGAAACGACATAAAGTGCCATTTTCCATTAGATTAAGGACCATTGCTCCTGAACGGTAAAAGTGAAAATCGTCAATATCAAACTTGATCTTCATTTTGTCACCAGTAACAACATATCATAATTTGAAAACCAATAGTAGAGGGATTCATAAGTTATTAAACAGAAACGACATAATGTACCATTTCCAATATCGGTGCATTACATTTGCGCGCATTACCATTACATTTGTGTGCAAAAATCATTCCGTTTGTGCGCAGCTTTTGATTACATTTGAGCGCATTCTTTTACAGGTAAACTCAGGTAGATTAAACTTATTTATTTTCGAGCAGGATAAGTCAGTTTTATTGTGCTCAAGCACTTAGTCCTGGAAATAAAAACAGATAAAAATGTAAAAAACATAGAAAAAGTACTGATTTTACATGACGTAACGTGCACAAAAATACATGGATGTGCTGAATAAAATTGCTCATTGTAGTGAGCATGGAATGATTCCGGGCCGTTTGTAGTACGCCAGGATTCTGTTGATGGTATAGTGATGCCCAAAGATGTTGAGGAAATAGAGAATCTGGTAAAATACCTTTGCAATTCTTTACAGTGCATCGCCATGAAATGTCCAAGACTTAAGTGTTCTGTCGATACAAATAGTAAATCCATCGTACACAAATGCTACCCCCCCCCCCCCTCCATTTGTTTCTGACAAACGAAACTCCATATGTGTACCCTGATGCAACTTTACAAACTTACTTAAATTATTTGTTAAATCGCTATTCGGTAAAATTATGAAACAGAATGCTATTTACTCTGAAATATTTGCAATTAACTTACATGTATGTCTTAAGCTATTATCGGTTTTCTGTATTTTTTTTGTATATTTTTTTTAGAATTCAATATGAAAAATATATAATTTTAATTTACAAATAGAACATGTTGAAAATTCATATAAACTATAGTCATATTCATTATGAATTATCTTTATTTTACCTGTGCTACCTGTAAAATGAATGCGCACAAATGTAATCAAAAAGCTCTGCGCAAACTTAAAAAATTTTAATCCCTAAATGCGCGAAAATGTAATGCACCCTCCAATATATAAAGGACCGTATCTCCTTAACAGTTTTAAAAAAGTGAAAATGGTCAATATCAAAGTTGACCTCCATTTTGTTATCATTATCAACATATTAAAATTTGAACTGCATTGGTTGAACAGTTCATAAGTTATTGCATGGAAGTTGTTTGCAGCCGCCCGCCTTTCTTCTGCTAGCTGTACTTCACAAATTTATCAATCGGATTTTCCTTCGAAAAACCTGGTTTAAAACAGTAAAAATCATCATTTCAGGGGCAATAACTCCCAAACGGGTTGTCAAATATCAGACTATATAGATCTTGTCATGCTGATTATTTTTGCAGTTGACACTTATAACCTAGACCCTTTAATTTACAAAATAGCAGCAAAAGTTTGTGACATTGACCTTTCAGACAAAAACTTAAAAACTCATTTATCCTGGTGTCATTAAGATCCCTGAAGACATTCAATAGTATTGAATCAGACACAGGGACATAAAAATCAATTCATTTTTAGCCCCTTTGTTTGTAGTGATTGTCTAGCTCTTTTTCCTTCTGAAATATTGAGGTTTTTACTATAAGTTAACTTTTTAGTGCAACATGTTCCAATAAAAAGGTCTCAAAGATTGTTCAGTGGAAACATCTAAAATTTTTTAAACCCTTAAGATATGGATACAAACTTTTTCCCCATTTGCTCAGCAATTAAAGAGGAAGAGGTTTCTAAAATATGTTTTCAGATGCTGGAAGCAAAGTATAACAATAAGCCACACTGGCCCTTCTAACAAGGCAAGCAATTAATACTCCTAAATAGTTGTTGTCCATAGAAAACATTGATGGAATTTATAGTTTATACTATTCACTAGGTTTTAATTGACAATACTATACAAACACATGACCAAACTGTGTATCAAAACTCAAAAATTAGTTTAAAAATAGATTTATTGATTCATAAAATATGTAATCATAATAACAATGAAGAAATATTGGTGATATACTTTATCAACACAGTGTCCTCTATGTAATCATCAATATAAAGTAATGTAAAGCATGAGCTTATCAACCCTCATAAATATCACATTCATACTTTTACAATACACACAACTTTACACCACACTAAAACACAGCTGCAATGATTGAACAGCAACCCAGAAGACAGTTATATTTTGGCTGATTATCTATAAATGAGTTATTCTAAATTTAAAAGATACAGTAATGATATAATACATTTGATATGACATTATGGTAATTACATTACTTTTTATCTTAACAAGCACTGAATAGGAGGTATGATAAGAGCCAATATTTGGCCCCTGAATTAGCAAAAAATAGAAATTTTACTCTAAAACTTTCAAAACTATGTTAATTTTATAGATAAATGAACAGGTTGAAATAATATGTACTTTTCTGTACAGAATGGTCACTTGTGAAGTCAATATGGTGTCATCAACATGTTGAAATGAACATATTTGATATAAAATGGCAATTTTACACATGGTTTTTGGACAAAATATATATCAGCCAAGGACTTGCACTAGAAGACATTTTACAAAACAAACATACACACCTTTGTGAAATATGTCTTATAGGAAATTAAAGCCTTTGTTCATATCTAAACATTAATGACAAGATCTCATAATGAGGCTACTTTTGTTGATTTGGCAGTTTTGCATTATGCAAAAAGTTAGAAGCCCTAATGCAAATATGTTAGAGAAAGAGAATAAAAAAAAACTTAATACTGTTATATTAGGACTAATGTCCAATGATTATAAGAAGGATGTTACTTAGTAGATAATTATAATACCTTTTGATTTTCTTATTCAGGGGGCAAAAAAAAAAGCCCTATCATGCCTTCTCCTTAAATCATTTGTTTCTTTCTAAAATAAAAATTGATAATGGCATGAAAGCAAATTAAATGAAATGAAATGACTATATTTATGTTTTATATGTTCTAATGGTTTGGTTTTTCATGACCTGTTACTGTTAACATAAAAAAAATGTAAATTAAATAATAGCTTGCAGTATTGTACTGCTAGGAGTATATTAAATGAGTATCATATCCTTACAACACACATAGATGACATGTCAAAATGCCTGGATAAATGTTGTCTTTTTTTAAAACTAGTCATACAGAACTTAACTGATTATGCATATTCACTTCAGAAAAATGTTTTAAATTGAAATTAGTTTGTTTCCTTTTCTGTTTGACTATAAAATGTACATCTGCACATATTAAAAACATTTTTTGTAAAATTTAATTCTATTCATATGAAAACAGATGAAAGTGAGCACTGAAAAACTATCCAATATATAGAAATGGCAAAACCCATGTTAACTATGGAAAACTGAAAAAATGCAATCTTTAAAAAAAAATTGCTTTGCACAATTGTCCATGTCACAAAGCATTTCTATTTTTAATTCCTATGCAACTAGTAAGAGATTTACTTTAGTAGACTCCCCAAATGAGGAAATGACAAGAGTTCATGTCAGCCATGGGAAATCAGCCTTATGAAAAACTAAATAAATACATGTGATAAAAAGCTTTCCATTATACTTTTGTACATAAATTTTACATTTTCTCTTTTTACCAGAATATCTTTATCTTTTTAAATTCCAAAATGGTACATATCATATTTTGAACTAAATAATATAGGACAGAATTTGGGCAAAGTAATTGCCAGATCAATGCAATTATTTTTATTTTCGAACCTGGATAAAAAAGGAAAATCCAAAGAATTGTATATAACATTGTTGTTTTCTAAGTTTTGTAGCACTTCTTGTGAAAGTAAATGTAAATGAGCAGAATTGTATCAAACATCTAAATAACAATGAATGCACGTATAGGTACATAGTCAATATCAGGATACATCACAGCTATAGCTATCACAACTTCACGTTTTTCTTTTGGCATGCACCTGTTTTATGGAAGATCTCATGTTACAGATATTTGATAAAAAAGAATCTGATTCAAATAACTTTTTAAGATTTTATATATACCTAAAATGCAATGCCTCTTTCCTTAGCAATTTATTACGACTGTTCTTAATTATTTGACATGTTTTTATTGTGTTTTTACCATTTGCTGAGTATAACACATTTCCAAGTATTGTTTTTTAGGTCAAACTTCTCTATTACTTATAAATTGCACTCAAACTCTCCTTAACCTAGTTAATTTAACTTTAATGTGAACATTTTTGAAACCTTAATATGATGTGACAAAAATAACCATAAAAATAATAGAATAACATATTCATAACAAATCAATTATCAAACAAGGAAGTAATATAATTGCACAAACCCCAATATTTCAGGAAATAAATCATTAACAAGGTCATATCTGTACATAGATTAATTGACTTAATTTATCTATTATCTTCCTTATATAACAGTAAAATGTTGCAAAACTAAAAAAAAAAAAAAATTCTTCCAGAATTTATTACTTTTAAAATATCTGAACGGACTTTTATCTTATCAATATGGTAATGCTTAATCAATAAGAGTCCTGCAATAAATGACAGTTCTGAATCCTGAAAAAAATGATAATCAGAGAAAAATTAATAACAGACACCAGATCAGATATATGGCATAGTAAAGTATGTTTCAGCTGCTGTATCAGCCAAGTATGACAATTAAAATGATTGTTTTAAAACATATTTCATGGTTACTATTGTGACACAGAACAAAATATACAAACTAAACAGAAAGTCAGTAACATCCATGTTACCACCCAAGTATTGTGCTTATTGTGGTCTTCATGTATCCCCCTTTAGTGTGGCATATTCATGACCAAATCAAAATACAATAAAACAAATTGTCAGTGTTCACTGACACAGTGCTCTGACAAGTTTAAAGGGAGTAACAAAGCCTAGCAATAGCATTATGCTGAATAATAATATATATCACCGGTGAACCATAAATTTAAGCCAAAGGCAGCTTTTTACATATAGTATAAATTATTCAAATCTTGAATCTTTCTTTGACAAATTTCATATAGGCATCATGTTAACTTCATGTTAAATTATTTTTTTAATTTAGAACTTAACTTAATTGATCAGACATAATTTTAAATAATTCACATCTTGAAGTATTCAATCATGAAGTTAAATATTGCTATCAAATAAAACTACATTATACTTTAATCTAGTGCCAAAAGCAGGAGAGACATAAAACATAGAGCATAAAACTATAATGTGGATACATTTATTTTCGTGGCTATCAATTTTCGAGGATTGAGGAAACATTACATTTTCATGGATATTTGATTTTGTGGTTTTGCCCAAGTATGAATACAAGCCTATAGAACATTTGTATTTCGTTGAACATTTGAATTTGTGGTACACCTTTACCCAAGAAATCCATGAAAAATTGATATCCCATGAATAATAATGAATCCACAGTATGTCATCTCCACTTTTCAAACACGACATAAAATAATTTTCTTCACAATAAATAATAAGCCTACTTAAATGTTACAGAAAGAATTTTACTCATTTCATTCTGATAAAATAACAACCTCAGATTTAACTTTTAGGGATACAAAGAAATTTGCAAGTATGAAATGCTGGACAACTAATGCCCTTCTTTGGACATTATAAACTATTGTGCAATCAAAGAAGAGTAAACAAGACAATACATCACATAAGCATCAAACAAAAGAAATTATACTTCACATATATAACATTATATTACTACTTTTATTTACATACAACTCTAAAATACAAACTGAAATGTCACTAGTGATAGTCACTACTGATTCTACATGCAACACGGACTGAAGGATTTCTCCATTGTTATTAGATTTAATTAATATTGCTCAAAACATGTATCAATCAAATTTAACCATGAATGTTAAGATTCCATTAATTACTTCATTTTCAAACTTGTTTTATATTTGGCACTAAATTTTCTTTTTATTTCCTTTGAAATATATCTGCATTTGACAGATATTGAAGCGTTTAAGCTATTTTTACACATATTTTTCAATTCACTAACACAACCTTTGACAATAAAATATTAAACCTTGTATAACAACTAATTGGTCCCAAAACCCAAACACACAATTCATCCATCAGAAAGTACATATTAACCATCAATAACAAAAATAACAGATATTTACATATTTTGTACTACTTTAGGCAATATGTTGCACAGCACCAGTAAATTTCAGAACACAACTGACAAACATTTCAGTTATCACTCAAGATTTCTGTGGATTAGCCCAATTTGTAAAACAAATTAATGGTTTTATCTGTTTATCTTCCATACTAAGTAGATATCATCACAGACAAGTATACACCAAAGCAATGCAAAGGGATATAGCAGGATAAATAAATGTATTCTCCAAGTTTCAGAATGAAATGTTGAAATAAATTGTGATTCAACAAACCAATTCTCAAAATCTCAACCAACTTACATCTGCTGAGATATAATATACCTATTAACTTTCAATCAAAGATATATTCAATAGGAAATGTGATTTAGTGATTACATAATTAAATGGCAAAACAAATACAATGTGTGACTCTTGTGGTCTTTTCTAATTCTGTCAAAAAGTTTTTGACATTAGCCTATGTTTGCTAAAATCTGACAAATCTTCCATGTGTCATCATTTAGTATTGACATAATAAAAACGTGTCATCAAATCACAGCTATATTTATATTTTCTCACAGCCTTTGTTCAGATATTTAAAAAATGAAAGCAAAGTCATTTTGCAAGTTCTTATTTTAACATAATTTACAGAAACAAACCCATACAATTTTTATTCTTAACAAAATAAATAGTAAACAAATAATAACAGTACAATAATGTAGCAATACAAGCATATCCAGATTCTGAATAATGCTAAAATTGCAAAGATTCCAACTATTCTAAGAGAATATTCAGGACACCTGATTGGTTTTTGACTTGGTACTGTTTTGGATATGTACTGGATTTCTACTTGGTGTCTTTGGTTTCAACGAACTATTTATGTTTATAACAACTTTTTCTTTATGAAGGTGTGCTCAGCCAAGCCTGTAAAAAATCAAGTTGACAATTGAATAATTGAAAAAACAGATTATGTTGAAAAGAATATGTAATGATATTTATCAAGATTATAAACCTTAAAATATATTTTTCTTCTATCATGAGACATACATATCTATTTATTTACCATGACTTAGTTTCATTAAATTTAATTAAAAACATTTTTTGTCTGCTTTAGGCATATTTCTTAAAATTATTCTGCGTTATAAATATGTGCATAATGAACGAAATATGTATAACTGAAACTAAATACTGTAAACTCAGAAATTGTGTCAATGTTTTATCATTGTACAAACTGTGATGGGATATGTTTCGAAAAAAATAAAAACGCATATTTTAAATTTGGAAAGTATTATTCCTTTGCAGCCTTTCCTTAAATCACAATAATTAATCTAGCATTTGTCTTTATTAAACAATCACAATAATAAAGCATGAAAAAATTTGTGAGTTTACAGAGAATAAACAGAAATGAACCAACACCAAAGCCCCATGCATAAGTTTTGATGAGGAATAGGATTTCATGAGCACAGGGTATACATATGTATTCTGAAGAGTGATACTAAATACAACTTATCTATATCAGTTTTTTGTGCTTTAATATATTTATCAGATGAGTAAAATATTTTGTTCTGTCGCTTTCATCCAATTATAGCATAATGTCAAGATTATATATATATGGTATTGGACTGTTCAAGTACATTTTTTTGTATTGATTTTTTTTTTTATCCCTATACATTTTTTTTTTAAAAGGTTTTAATGAATAGACAAAGAGTAAGGAAATGCCCATTGAAAAATAAGAAGAAATAAATTCAAAACAAACCCGAGAAATATCCTGGATCAGACCTGTGGATAATATAGCAAAGCTTCAGAACCAGATAAAATGTCTTTGTGTGTATCCTAGGTTACTGCTAAAAGTTATGCATTATTCCATGCAAAGCTTCGTAAGAAACATTACCCAGCACACATGTAAATTCAAACTCACTTTAAATACATATAAATTTTCTGTCAGACAAAGGTTCCTAGGGAGCAGCATTATCAATAAGCAAAATAAATTTTACTGGTACCAATTATGAACAATTATCTACATAGATGTCAACTGTGTCAATCTGGTTTGGAGCCTCAAAAAAAATATTCAGAAATTGTTCCCTCACATTTCAAAAGGTTACATAATTGTAATAACATTGTTAAATATTGGGGGTTTTTTCAGTGTTATTTTTTCTAATGACACCAGGAATAAAGTATCTCCTTTTATGAGAAGCGGGGACACAAAGAGAAAAGATGTACAGAATTATTTAAAGGTAAAGCTTCCAATATGGCTTAAAGCAAATTTGTGCAATTTAAAAAATGGATGAATCAACAGGTAATCACGTAACAGCATAGCTCTTTTTTACAAAGAAGATCAGTAATTAGTAATTTCATTTAACAAAATCCTGAGTCAGTTATAAAGAAAAACATCCTCAGAACCTTTTTTCATCAGTGATCTTAATTTACCATGTGCTGTTGCAGATCATGTTTCAATTTTTTTTCTTAAAAATGTTGATGATAGTGAAATTTGATAGAAATTAAGAGTAAAGTGGGCACAAATTGATAAGATATCACAAACTCCTAAAATGTTATATTCAACTTGCAATCCTTTATTTTTACAGAGAGCTTTAAGGTGCACATGAAATGGTGAAAAAATAATATTAGAATCTCCATTACAATAAAAAATTTTGTTAAGGGAAATCTCATATTTTGGAGGTTTTTGAGAGTTGACACCTATGTACTAATATACTTTCAAGTTTTAAATTTCAACGTATTATCTAGTAGACAAAATTTAGAATAGCGCATTAAACAGTACGCAAGTTAATCACAATAGTTATCTCAGGATAAGTGTTGTTATTGTTGTCTTATATACTGTGGATTAATTTCCTTTCGTGGATTCAGAAAATATTATTTTCCATCCGATTTTGCTAAAGTCTGCAAACAAGCCTAAAGAAAATTTGTACTTATATGAACATTTAATTTCGTGGCACTATTATCAACGAAAATTGGTATCCAATGAATAATAATGAATACATACATTAAATTAAATATTTACTAAGGTAGCAGAATTTATTTATTACTGGATACAATTATGATAATTTTTGTCATTATAATCAGATAATGCTACCGTTTTCAAATCTTCTATCTTTTTGAAAACCTGTACAATTCCGAACGACAGAAATTTTTTTTAAGAATAGTTTACCATAGTTTTATATACTTACATTAGTTTTAGCATCTTCTCTTGCAATTACTTTCCTCATTTGTTCATCATTAAAATGTACTACAGTTCCTATCACTCTAGATAGAGTCTGTAAATTAAAAAAATAAAATACTTCAGTTCCTATCAATCTGGTCAGTTACTCAAAATAAAAAAAATTTCATGCCTTTTATTCTGTAGTAGTCAAGCTCTAAGGAAAAAAAGTAGCTTTCTCTCTTAACTGAAATGGTAAAACAATATCTTAATGAGGGGAAAAGATGCAATTTTTGAAATAATAGTAATGTATTATTTTTTAATTTTGCCATCTCTAATTATAAACCTTTTTCCTAAAATAGTGAAAGAGAGTGTACAAAGTACAATTCTGATGACAGGAATAGAAATATAGAACAAATCATGATATTCAAGTTAGATTCAATACATACCTTGGTCTCTCTTCCCATCATATACTGGTATAGTATATTCTTCAGATACTAAAAAATAAATCAGATTTAAAGAAATATTTCCATGAAGCTAGAATTATTCTAGTCCAGTAAAACACAAGTCTCCCCTTAAGGCCATTTTGGGTGCAAACACAGGTGCTTGAGGAAAAAAGGACAAAACTTAATAGTAATAAGGTCATAAATCAGTCACAATAGCATGCCACACATGAGCTTGCAATTATTTTCCAACATGCTAAATATCTGATGTCTATATAACAGTTTTTTGGCCCTGACATGCCTGTATGAGAGAAAAAAATTGACCTTGAGTATAAATCTAAAAGTCAGTCTAAATGGTATGCACACATCTTGTGGGAGGGAATCCATATTCCAAGAATCAAAAGTTCTTAACCTTGTACCCCTGAATGTAAAATGTAATTGATTTCATGATCAAAAGACAAATGTCAGTCATGATGGTATATATTACACTGCCTGACAATGATACAACAACAAGCCAAATATCTTATTAATGTCTATATTAGAGAGATCTGACCAATACAATCCTATATTAACAGTTTTCAAGTTATCAGACAGAAACTACATTAAGTTCCATTATTGAATCTATAAAGGACCATGACTCATAAACAGCACAAGTGAAAATCATAACTATCTAACTAGACCTATAGTGTATCATGAGAAACAACATATTATTACTTTGAAAAGGATTGGTTAAACTGTGTTCAAGTTATTGCAGGGGAACAACATAAAGCATCATTTTACGATCAATCAAAGACAATAACTCCTTAACAGGAGAAGTGAAAATTATCGAGATCTAACATGACCTATATTAAATTCTGAGAAAAACATGTTTTAAATAAACTGTTATCACAGAGATATGTCTCGCCCTTTTGTAATTTTGATTATGCAAATGTTGAAATTAAAATAGCAATATTTTAACATGTTTCATAAGTTATGCAAATATTCAAAGTCAATGAACCCTGACTGAGGTACATGGCTAAACAATTTCCATGTAAATGAGATGTGCCAAAGATAATACAACTGCGTACCAAATACCATTGACTTATTATAAGTCCTTCCCTTTAAACAAACCTAAACACAAACATTAACTTGTAAACTATGCAAAAGTTTCAAAGTCAATGAACCATGAAGAGGGGGTGGGGCTATATAATATCCATGGAAACGATACTTGCAAATGCCAATAAATTTGCGTACCAAATATCATTGACTTAACATTAGCAGTTCATCTTAAACTGATCTAATCACAAACTTATACATGTAAACTAAGCAAAAGTTTCTAAGTCGATAGACCATGACTGAGGGGGCGGGGCCAAATATTCTCCATGGTACTGAGATGTGCTAATGCTGATACAACTGAATACCAATTAACATTTGCCTACCCTAAATGGTTCCCCTTGAACTGACCTAATCACAAACTAAAACATGTAAAATAAGCAAAAATTTCAAAGTCAATAGACCATGACTGAGAGGGCAGGGCCAGATAATCTCCATGGAAATGAGATGTGCCAATGCTAATACAACTGCATACCAAATTGTATTGACCTACCACTTGTGGTTCACCATAAACTAGACCTAATCACAAACTAATACATTGTTGACAACGCCGCCCCCGCCGACGCCGGAAACAGCATACCTATGTCTCGCTTTTTGACTCCATCAAAGCGATTCAAAAATTAGAAAAGAATTGGTTGAATGGTGTCAAGTTATCACACAGAGATATTTCAGCCATACAGCCCCAAATAATTTACAGCATGTTTTTGTCTGAAAACTGGGTTACAAGAGATTTATTCAAAGTTATTTGAAGCTCTCTTTCAAGTAATAAAAGGGATATACACATGACTTGGTTGAAAAAATCTCTTTTGTATACCTCATCCATATAGAAAATTGTTATTGAAATTAAACATTTAAAATAAAACGTTAAGTAAACTTGAAAATGCAAGCTATCAATAACTGAGATTGAATTGTCTCCCTTTGTATATTTGAAATAGTGTGAGAAATCAAATTTAATGTGCTAGTTCACAAGGTAACCATCCATAGAAAGACATGTCACCCTACAAGGACATATCTTATGAATCTGACCTTAATCTTTGCTCTCACTCTTAATATTGCCTGCTAAGCAGATAAAAGGCAAATACCAATTTTAAAAGGGATTGGCTGAGGATTGAACCCTTGGCCGCCATCACTAAAGGCGAGCATGCTACCATGAGACCAAATGTGATAAATCAACTCTTGTACATAACTGTCTTCAATTACTGCCACAAGCATAAGATACTGGTACTAATAAAATACTATCATAATTTTTATGAGCTGTATTACTTCAAATCATTTATAAATTTTTATACACACAAGAACTATTTGCAAATGTATTTTATTAAAATTGAATCAAGTGGCTTCAATAGTAAACTAATTCATTTTTTTTTTCATTTAAGAACAGGCCCATAGCCAGGATGTCTAAATTAAAATAAATTTGTGGTAAAACAAAATATTATGCTGAGAAATGTGTAAAAGCAATGAACCTTTGGCTTTACTCCATTTTTGGCATGCAAGAATCAGAAATATGATACAAACATATCATTTCTTTTCTTTATAGCTTACTGTTCGGTGTGAGCCAAGGCTCCATGTTGAAGACCGTACTGTGACCTATAATGGTTTACTTTTATAAATTTTGACTTGGATGGAGATTTGTCTCATTGGCACTCATACCACATCTTCTTATATCTATAGCTCGAAGACTGCACATTTGGCACAATGACTATGTAGTCAATTGAAATGTAGGGTAGATAACTGACCTCACACTGAGTTGGTTCTTGCAACAGGGGACCAGTGGCATGGTAACCAGGACTAAGAGGTGGTGAATCAATATCACCATGCCTTCCTTCATAATGATGTAACTAAAAAGAACAATGCATTTATATAACAGTTAAATATAGAAAATAGTTCATAATTAATCAAATTTCAGCCTAAAAATTACTCTTATACATCATAATACATCCATATATACAGATTGAACATTGATTTCTAAATGTGAAGCTTGGTGAACTAGACTATTCAGATTGTTGCCTAACAGACATTCACCTCATAAGTCCTCCTTTTATTCATATTTCTTTAGGTACAATAACTAATCCAAGAATTTGAATGTCCAGAAAATTAATTTTCTAAAGGAGTAGGTTTGATAAGGTCCCTAATATGGCCCCTATTTGCGGCTGAAATTTAAAATTAGGATTTTAGACCAATATCACAATGATTCATAGCAAAAGCAATGACTAGATAGGACATATTCTTTCACCAAAATCTGTGTTATGCCTATTTTGGGTGTGGATGTCAAAACTTAGTCAGAAAAGTTTGATAAAAGTAGCTCTATTTCACTTTCTTACAATGTCACTTTATCAACTTGAAACATTTCTAATTTGGAAACAATGGACTTAATATTCAGGGCCAAATATGGCACTTTCATACCAAGCTTACTCCTTTGAACGAGTGACTTGTTTGTGTAGAGCATGTGGGAACTATCAGTGTTGTTCTTTAAAGAGTTGAAGAACATTTTATATAACATTTAAATTATCGGATAAGTTATCTTTTTTCTTACATTGACTTTTAATGTAAATAAAGTAGAAAATGTATGGAACTATATTTTCCTACAGTTTCTCAGTTCATTTGATTCAACTTCTTTAACAATGTCTTTTTACAATTTACAATTATTGCATTCATATGAGGTGAACATCCCAACTGTTAACCTGAGTTGGGAAGACAACACTTCAAGGGTTAACAATTGAAATATTCTTGTTCTATTATAAGGAGAATCTGTTTAAGAATAATTAAGGGTGTTTAAGAAAATAAATAAATGGAGAATGTGTCCATGGGACACAGATGATGCTTCCGCTTGCATATAACATTATAAAGGTGTAATACCACCATTGATTTTCCCCTATTAGTCTTTGTTAAATTTGCACTTTTCAAAAAATTGTGCAGAATTTATCTTTGTTTCAAATAAAGAAATATTTGGCATGAGTAAAGTTTGATCCTGTCCAGTACTGTAGAAAAAATTTCACATAACATTTCATTGCATATAAGAAAATAACCATCACTGGAAGTTAACCAATCAAATTTTCCCCCTTTTTTAACCTGTGTACAAGCTTTAGTAACCATGTAACCTCAAGTTTCCAAAATATTCTATAGAAACCCCAAATAAAAAAATAATGGTGCTGTGAAATACCCAATATATGTTTATGACCCAGAAATGTTTTACTGCAATGAAATGTAGGATCAATTACCTACAACTGTCAAATTCAAGGGAATATTTTTTTTCGACCTATTTTCGTATGCAACCGGATGTGACGTACTATGATTTGGTGGTATTACACCTAAAGGGACATAACTCTAGAACGGTAAAAGTGACACCACCCAAATTCAAACTTGATCTGAGTTTTGTAGTAATAAGCCTTGTGTATTAGTTTCATCACATTTGGTTGAGGCAAACTTAAGTTAGAGAATGGTAGATGTGACGCCACCCAAATTCAAACTTGATCTGTGTTGTGTGGTAATAAGCCTTGTGTATTAGTTTCATAACATTTGGTTGAGGCAAACTTAAGTTAGAGAAAGGTAGAAGTGACACCACCTAAATTCAAACTTGATCCGAGTTTTGTGGCAATAAGCATTGTGCATAAGTTTCATAACATTTGGTTGAGGCAAACTTAAGTTAAGAGAACGGAAATGAAAAATTCAACAATGTTTCCATTTATAAAGGGACATAACTCTGGAACGGTAAAAGTGACGCCACCCAAGTTCACACCTGATCTGTGTTTTGTGGAAATAAGCATTGTGTATAAGTTTAATAACATTCCGGAAACCAATTTTGGGACTTACGTACAGATGGACAAGGGTAACATTTAATGCCCCCTCCGCTGCGGCGGTGGCATATAAACCAATTGTTTCAGCAACAATTTATACACCATTTTCTAAACCTTTTTTTAAATGAAAATTTTATAAAACATAGTTTTACGCAGGAGAAAGTTAAAATAAAATATGGTTGTCCTCATTTCAACGTTAATTAAACAAAACATTGCACATTTCACCCATTAATTTGGTGTAAAAATCAATAAATCAGAAATTGGGCAAAACATTGTTCTCATCTTTGACACCTACAGGTAAACCATCTGACATCATATAGATAAGCTTCTGGCATCAAGCTTAAATACCAAACTTTTTGGGTTTTGTATATGCTTCAGAATGGTACTTGATAATAACGAGAGTATATAATTTATTAAAATAAGCATGAGACAAATAACGTCCAGTGCCAATAAATCGGAATCTATTCAGAAACAATTTCCTGTCTGGCATGTGACATAAGTATTGTTCACCAGTAGACAATTGTATCGTCTCATCTCTAACAAAGTTGTCTCTCTTGACAGGAAATTTTGTTTAACAACTAAATTGTCTAATAATAGATACATATGTGAGGTATAATAACAATTATTGTTGTAGGTCATCAGAGGAGTGAGTATACATGATTTATTTCACATGTGATACTGTGTAGCAGGTAATTTTCATGGGGTGTTTATTTCGCTTATTTTGGCGATTAAATGAAAATGGTGAAAATAAATTCCATGAGAATTTATGCATACGTTCGGTACTTTCTTATAGGTAAAGCTTCACCCTTATTAATTGGTGTGAAATAATATAAGAGCGTTAGGTACTCTTTATAATTTAAGAACCTAATAAGAACATCAAAAGTCACGTCAATCATGTAACTAATCAACTGTAACATTTACAAGAAGTTTGTACACCTGTGACAAATATCTTCGTTACTGGTATTCTATTGATTAACACCCTTTTATTCTACATATCAAAACAAGTGTTTTACCTCAAATATTGTTTTTCGTTATCCATATGTATTTCTTTTTACTATTTACTTGTAACTGCAACAATTTCAGTATCCACCAAAATATTTAATTGGAACTAAGAAACCGCCAAATTTTTCGTATACTTGTTGCTCCTAAATTTCGAAATTTTATACTCGCGGAAAAAAAAAGCTACGGTATCAGTTTTTATTTGACTGGGAAATCATTGTATTTTATTCCAACCAAAACTTTATAAAATGATTTTTTTTTTTATTCTATTGACTGATAAGACATAATGAATTAAAAGTGAACATGTTAATCCAACATTTTGAGCTAAAAAAGGTAACTAATGAAAATGACTAATCTGTATATTACCTTATTGTTCAGCTGTATATTACCTTATTGTTCAGCTGTATATTACCTTATTGTTCAGCTGTATATTACCTTATTGTTCAGCTGTATATTACCTTATTGTTCAGCTGTATATTACCTTATTGTTCAGCTGTATATTACCTTATTGTTCAGCTGTATATTACCTTATTGTTCAGCTGTATATTACCTTATTGTTCAGCTGTATATTACCTTATTGTTCAGCTGTATATTACCTTATTGTTCAGCTGTATATTACCTTATTGTTCAGCTGTATATTACCTTATTGTTCAGCTGTATATTACCTTATTGTTCAGCTGTATATTACCTTATTGTTCAGCTGTATATTACCTTATTGTTCAGTTCATTCTCCCTGATCTTGGTTTGAGCTAGTTCAGTTTTCACTTGTTGTAGTTTTGCCTGAAATATTAATAAAACAAAATAATCTCTTTTCAACATTCTGTTTCATCAAACATGTCAAATCTGGTAAAAGAATCAATATTAACATTAGCAGTATTAATTTTTTCTCAATTTTCAATTATACCAACAGGGAATCGTACATACAACCCTAACAATCACAATACTTCACCCTATGAACTATACCTTGGAACCCCTGGCACACAAGTTACCACTAATCAACTATAACAATAGGGAAACAAAAAAAATGTAATCCCTGTCACAAAACCTCACCAACAAGCCATTTCTTATCAAGCTATATCAACAAGGAATTAAACATGTTATCACCAGCTAACAAGCCATATTTATTGCTATTTAAACAAATAATCAAATATAGAACATCAATAACACAGGTTATCCTTCTCTATAAAGCTGTACCACTAGGGAATCAAACATGAAATGCCTGTTACACAAGCAATACTATACAAAGCCAAATAATAACTTGACTATTAAGCACAGCTTCTGTCATTTCAAAATACTGTTGATGGAGATGTGTACACTCTTTTTATACATTGATACCATATATTCAATTTTATACATGGTAAATATACAATTTTTTAACCATTCACAATGCTCATATTTGTAAAACATTTTTACCTCCAAATCTATATTGATCAATTCCATGTTCTGAGCATGTTCTGTCTGATCTTCAAAATGAACTCGTTTCTTTCTGAAGGGTGTGTCAATGAGTGGAGGCTGTAGAGAGTTCATCTCACTTCTACCTTGTAATTCTGCTATTTCTAGTCTACAATAGAATGGCTTTTAATGAGTACTAGAACATACTTGTGGTAATTACTAAAGAGTATTGGAGCGCCGACCCTAAGTCATTTTATCTCTGTCATAAAGAGAAACAAGAATTTGTCCATAGTATACGGATGCCCCACTCGCACTATCAATTTCTATGTTCAGTGGACCGTGAAATTGGGGTCAAAACTCTAATTTGGCATTAAAATTAGAAAGATCATATTATAGGGAACATGTGTACTAAGTTTCAAGTTGGTTGGACTTCAACTTCATCAAAAACTACCTTGACCAAAAACTTTAACCTGAAGCGGGACAGACGGACGAACAGATGAACGAATACACAGACTGAAAAACATAATGCCCCTCTACTATCGTACAATAACGCTTGTCCGATTGTCCGGTACCAGAGGAAAAAAAGGTCGGACAAGTAAAAGCTATATCAAGCTTGTCCGATGCGACCAGTAAAATTATTCTGCATAAAAACATGTAAAATAAATTTAATCCAACTTTGATGAACAAAGTAATTATAAACAAAAAACAAGAAAAGAAGATAAAAACAAGTATTAGTTTGACATGTTTACTTGTAATCGATAATTTAAAACTGGTTCTTTGTCAGGTACTTTTTAACAGGTAAAAGGCATACTATTATCGGAAACCAGTCCTACTGATCCGAATCAGCATGCGCTTTTTAGATAGATAACTTTATAAGACAGTTCGTCGTCGCCAGCTTGGAAACAATTCGGCTCCAAGTTTAATAGACAGTTTGGCACCGTAGGAGACATATTTAATAGACATGATAAATAGACAGTTTGGCAACGCAGGAGAAATTTCGGGACCAAGACAAATCAGTACCTCAAATCAGTACCTCGTTTTCCTACCTTGATTCTGTTGCTTTATAATAAATACCAAAAAAGAAATTATTTACCATGAAATTCACAAAATCATATGTAGAAAAAAAAACAATACTTGCAATACGGTACCCTATAGTTGTAAATTTCTGTGTCATTTGGTCTCTAGCAGAGAGTTGTCTCATTGGCAATCAAACCTCATTTTCTTTTTTTATTGATTGCATTTGAATAAACTTTTTTCAGCTTAAAAAAAAACAGGATACAAATCCAATGAGTGTACATTGACAGGCCTATCAGACGGTATTTAATGTGGCATTGATGAACAGTAGAACCTTAAAGTCCTGTGACATGGCTAGATTCAGTTGTTCTCGACTCATATTTTTGAAAAGTATATCAAAAGATATAAAACTAACTTCTGTTATATTGTTTAAATTCATTTTGTTCCTTGAATCAACTTAAAATGTAAAAAAGGTTATTATAAAGAATTTTTTTGGACAAGTTACAATTTCATTCGGACAAGTAAATTTTGGTATGTACTTGTCCTACTGGACAAGTTGAAAAAAAAGTTATTGTAGAGGCCTGAGGTGGGGCATAAAAATAACGGAACTTGTGTCAAAAGCGAAGTTAGAGTTGCCAATAAATTTAATCAATTGCCTGATAATCCCAATGTTAACAATCGTGAATATGACGGATGTTTTAAGGAAACTTGATACTCGTGTGATGAAATAAACACTTTGCCGCCATTTTTTTCCAACCAATAACCAAGGGAAATAATCCAATCATTAAAAATACAGGTAAACTTGGCCCATGGACAACTCAGACCACGGCAATACAAACCACACGACTCAAAATCATGTTGTAATAAATGGGGAATGTGTCCATGGGACACAGATGATGCCCCTGCTTGCATATCATATAAAGTTATAAAGGAACATAACTGAAGAACGGTAAAAGTGACACTACCCAAATTTGTACTTGATTTGAATTTTTTGGTAATAAGTATTGTGTATAAGTCTCATAACATTTGGTTGAGGCAAACTGAAGTAAGAGAACGGAAACGAAAAATTCATCAATTTTTATGTTTATAAAGGGGCATAACTCAAGAACCGTAAAAGTGACGCCACCCAATTTCGAACTTGATCTGTATTATGTGGTAATAAGCATTGTGTATAAGTTTCATAATATTTGGTTGAGGCAAACTAAAGTAAGAGAACAGAAACGAAAAATTCAGCAATTTTTCCATTTGTAAAGGGCCATAACTCTAGAACGGTTATAGTGACGCCACCAAAATTCAAACTTGATCTGTGTTTTGTGGTAATAAGCATTGTGTATAAGTTTCATAACATTTGGTTTAGGCAAACTAAAGTTAGAGAACGGGAACTAACTTTGGGATGTATGGACGGACGTATGTACAGACGGACATGGGTAAAACTTAATGCCCCCTCCGCTATGGCGGGGGCATAAAAAATAAAATGGAAATACCGACTTACCTACTCTATTCATTTTTATAATGTAACCTTAAACAGACCTGTATTTTTATTTGTCTTACATCTATACTACTAAAATAACGAGGTCCAATTTGTTAGCCAGCATGACGTAAAAAGACGAATCAAAGAATTCAACTTTATATATAACTAATATAGGACAATGGTGTTGTTTAAAAATAACACCATTCCAGGCCCTTTTGTTTTTCACCCAATAATTAACATGTTCCGGGCCGAATCCGATACCAATACCAATAGAATATGTCACATGGAGTTTCCGGTTGAATATACCTTCTGTAAACCCCACCTTTATCAGGAGAACCTGGAATTCTTTCAGTAGTTGTTTCATATCTATGTTACACTATAGTACACTATTTAACAAGTCTGTTATCTTCTACCTAAATACCACTATTAATTTTGGTTAATTAGTTAAAAATTAAATTTAGTTTATAGTAAGTTTATTGTAGTAAGAAAACCAGGACGGGTTCAAACAGAAAGATTTTGAGAGCAGAGAAAACTGTGCACCTTATAATCAGCATGACTTTATCAGATTACAATAAGAAAACTAAAACTCCAGACTAAAAATTAGGCATAGGTACTTTAATTAATTCAGTCACGGACCCACGATGTCGCTGGTGTGTTCTACTTTCATATAAAAATCCAGAGATATCTTTTTCTAGTAAACAATTCTAGTTGTTGTCTCAAATGTATGTTAAGAACAAGTTCTAGTTGTTGTCTCAAATGTATGTTAAGAACAAGTGAACACCTTTCTATCTGTATGTTTTTTTTAATAGTAAAATGCAAACAACTTTGATAACTTTACCTAAGTATACCCGTGTTACCAGTACACCAAACAACTTTGATAACTTTACCTAAGTATACCTGTGTAACCAGTACACCAAACAACTTTGATAACTTTACCTAAGTATACCCGTGTTACCAGTACACCAAACAACTTTGATAACTTTACCTAAGTATACCCGTGTTACCAGTACACTAAACAACTTAGATAACTTGACCTAACTAAGTATACCCCTGTTATCAGTACACCAGACAACTTTGATAACTTTACCTAAGTATACCCCATTTACCAGTACACAAACAATTTTGATAACTTTAAAAAATAAAATTTACTCTGGTTACAACAGACAATGATAATTTTAACCAAGTTTACCACAACTAACTACACTAGATAAGATCTTGATTTCAACAACTAATATTATTTCGAAATAGCTCCTACAATTAATTAGTTGCATGAAAATAAGGACTTGGTATAGCAAACTCTTACAAAAACATGCACTTTTACTATTCTGGAGTGAAAGTGAAGGGTCTGTAAAAGAGAGGCGAAAGCAAGTCTTCCAAAACGGTCAAATTTGCCGGACAAATCTAATCAAAGCATCGTTGATGTTGTGATCCAGCCATATTCATAGCTAGTCTCATATTCTTTCTCTTTTCATTTCCAATCGTACTGTAAAATTTCTGTTATTGTCCAAAGGTAGGGAATTTCGCAATATTGATGCAAATATAGATATATATACTGATCTTTCAATATTAGACTCTGTCAGACAAGAATGGAAAGGAAAATCGTCAAACAAGTAATATATTTTTTGATATGCCATTAATAATGACAGGTTTAATAATTTCCAGAAAGAGGCCTTATAAATGCACATTCTCAACAACAAAAATAAAAAAAAATAATAACTATTCTTTATCTAAATTTGTGTTCATTCTTCATTAAGAAAAAAATACATTTCCTGTATTCAAATCTGAATGTACATAATTCAAATACCTAATGCTGAGATATTTCCAATTACTGTTAAATAGCAATATAATGGGATATAAATGTAAAACAAACAAATAAATTTTATTGCAGAAAATGCTCAGGTAACATTATGCAATTTTGTTTAATATTTCAACCAAATTTCTGATAATTGTAGCTAATTAATTAGAACTTGATTATTGACTTATGTCAGATGATAATGGCACTGATTTTACAAGTAAAATAAAATTTGCTTGCATTTTTTATACATATTTTTTTTCATTTTAAGTATTTTCTTTGAAAAAAAACCCACATCAGATTAATCATTCAGCTAGCTAGCAAAATTAACAGAATATTTTAATGTAGTGTAGATCAAAATAAATAATACATTTGTATATTTACTATTGAGGTCAAGAATGTGTGTATTCAGTTAGGTTTGTAATAAATTGTGTCTATTTAATTATGTAACAGGTCATGAGATATTAACTGTCTTGAATTAAGCCTGGGGTTGTTTCTAATTAATACTTATTTGAAAATCATGATAGTTAACAAGAAATGATTGTAACAGGATGCTGTTACGAAGTCTCCCAAATGAAGCTCCCATAATTCGTAATTCCCAGGGTCGCCTGACATTAGGCAAAGTCCAGTGAAAATTGGTTTGGTCAAGTAAAGTTATATGCATTAATGATGCCTGGGGACTAACCCTGTATATCATTCAAATCATCTTGGCCTGACAAACCAGAATATGTATGGTTTAGGGGTGGGGATTTCAACCATTTACAAGATACTAGAACATTGGGGGTGGGTGGAACCCCTGGGGACTGACCCTATACGTCATTCAAATGTTCGAGACATGACGAACAGGAATATATGTGGTATAGGGGTGGGGATCTCGACCATTTACAAGATATTAGAACTTTCTCAAATGGCAGGGGTCGGGATGACCCCTGGGGACTAACCCTGTATATCATTCAAACCATCTTTGCATGACAAACCAGAATATATATGGTTTAGGGGTGGGGATCTTGACCACTTACAAGATATTAGAACTTTCTTAAATGGCAGGGGGTGGGGGTGACCCTTAGGGACTAACCCTGTATTTCATTTGATGTGCTTTATCATGACAAACCAGAATATATATGGTTTAGGGGTGGGGATCTCGACCATTTACCAGATATTAGAACTTTCTCAAATGGCAGGGGGTCATAAACTGACAATGCCATGACTAAAAAAGAAAAAGACAAACAACAGAACACAAAACACAACATAGAAAACTAAAGACTGAGCAACACGAACCCCATCAAAAACTTGGGGCGATCTCAGGTGCTCCTTAAGGGTAAGCAGATCCTGCTCCACATGTAGCACCCGTCGTGTTGCTCATGATAGTACAAACCCTGTAATAAGTCTAATTTGGTAGGTCACATTGGGGGAAAGGGGGACAGGATTGTAGTAACTATAATTGGAACATATCCCCTATCATCTGTGAAACAGATATTCCATAACGGTCAACCAACTTGTCCGTAAAATTTACAAAGGGATGACTTCAACTTCACCACTTGAAACTATTGGTTTAATAGCTTCCTTGTGAGCAGCAACCCTCTATCAAGGAAATCATGATAGGAAATACAAGCCCTGGAATATCATATCAACTGGGAGATATATACTCCGTATGCAGGTGCTGCTGGAATGTTGCTACATAGAAATGGAAAGTTCACAATTGGGAAGCTGAAATCATCCCTTTTGTCATAAAGTTTTTTCAACCAGCCCTCATTGTCAATTTCTAGATGTAAGTCAAGATATGAGGCAGAATTAACTGTATCTGTTGTATCCTTTATCTCAAGTTCCATGGGATTGATGCGTTTAATATACTGTAAATTCAGAAATTGTTGCGTGCATTAATTATTACGATTTTGTCATTTAAGACTAAAATGCGATTTTAGATTTTTGCGATATTGAGAAAAATCCTGTTTAATTCATAAAAGAAATTTCAAAATGCGAGTTTAAATTATTGCAATTATAACCTTGTCGCATTTTTCGCAATAATAAAAACATCGCAATAATTTCCGAATTTACAGTACATGTTACCAAATTTTGAGTTATTTAGTGAGAACACATCATCTATATAGCGGAAATTGGAACTCCAGTTTAATGGTTACAGGATTACAAGGTAAGAATTTGAGATCTGTTTTTAAGATTTTTTAAGATCAGAAAAATTGTGTAGTTAACAATGAGCTCCTTTTTCATCAAGTGGTTTCTAAGATATCTGTTTTGATTCAAATTATAATATTCTGACACAGCCTATAAGTGTGTTTTGTTGAGTAGAAACTTAGCTCACCTATGTTGTTCCTTTATTTCATCCAATTTCCTGGTGAGTAAGACAACCTGTTGCTGTAACTGGGTTATGTTAGTTGAACCTGGTTGTAAAGCACTAATAGCTAACTGGTTGTGATGTAGTAATTCCTAAAATATAGATCCAAAATTAAAACATTGTTAATGAGCATGACAGGCCTAATCCTCATTTTGGTCATTTACTATTAAAGGTGTTTATAATCAAGTTCTAACAAATGAAAAGATTTCACCATTTGTGACATACCTGATTTTTGTGGGCCACATCCAGGAATTTAAGAGCTCACACAAGATTTTTCAATACCGGCACAGGTCATTAAATAACCTGGGATTTCAAATGACCCGTTTTTACCTGTATTCTAGTGCCATGAGACTTCCAATGTCTAAAATGCTAGATTTCCCTCTGATAAACAGCAAATTCAACATTCTTCCTGGACAGTAATTTCTATGTTTGCTTTCAATTGATTGATTTACAGCTATCAAAACATAATTTTGAAACTCCTTTGATTGAAAGTAACATCAATTCGGTAATTTTCTTGTTAATTGTACCCCAGAAAAGTCAATATAAAATTAAGAAGATGTGGTGTAATTACCAATGAGACATCTCTCCACCAGAGACCAAATGACATAGAAGTTAACAACTATAGGTCACCTTCCGGCTTTCAACAATGAGCAAAACCCATACCTCAAAGTAAGCTAAAAAGGCCCCAAAAGACAAAATGTAAAGCAATTGAAACCAGAAACTATCAGCGTGATTTATGTACAAAACAAAAAAAAAACAAAACAAAAAAAAACAAATATGATATACAGCAACAAATGACAACCACTGAATTACAGGCTCCTGACTTGGGACAAGCACATACAAAATGTGGTGGGGTTCAACATGCTGGCTGGCGCCAAACCCTCAAGCATGTTTACATTATTTACCATCTTAAAATACCCCCAAAAAAATCAACTTTTGCTAAACTTAGACCAAAGTCATAGTAGCATATCAACTAGTTAAGTGTGATCTATTTTCAAATGTATGCTGCCTACAAAAAAAATATGTTAAAAGACCATAAAGCATTTGACAAAAGACAAATAAACTTAAAAATAAAGTTTTAACAAAGCAAGTAAAAGTAAGCTTTGGATGAACTTATTTAACCTCACATTCAATGAATGTGATAGTCTACACTGCTCTGAATCCCACTAATGTCAAAATGCACATTATGAAGTCAAATTTAATGAAGTTCAATGAAACTTGAAATGTCAGTCAAATTGTCCTTTTTTTGTCTGGTTACCTACTCATTAAATGAACAAGTTTGCAAGTTTATATGGTTCAACTTCATGCCTTTTAGCACTAACTCTAATGCAAATTTCAGTCAGTGAAGCATGAAAATAAGGTCAAATTTTACCTTTTTCTTACATAGCATCTTCATGCAAGCTTAATGGGACTACATGATATAGTATTATCTTTTCCATAAGTCAGCAAATAATCCTCTTACTAAAAGCTTTTGAGATATAGGACCAGACATAAGCATGCAACTGATGTGGACATCAAAGTATTTTAGATTGACTGATTATTGTTTCCTTAACATCCAGTGGCAACTTAAGTACTCTAGAAGTTGTCCTCAAATTCATTAGGAGCCTTGGTTCCTTGTTGGTCTAAGTAGTTCATGTACAGTGATCACTAGACTGTCAACTCTGAGATTGTGAGTTCCAACCCCTCCCACGGCAAGGTGTGTACAACTTCAATCTTAATTGACAAGGATTACCAGGTTTTCTGTCAAAGGCGGTTGTTCTCTCTGGGTACTCCTTGCTTCTTCCACTAATAAAATCTGGTAGTTATAATATAGACAAGGGCACTGAAAGTGGTGTTAAACTTAAAACACCAACAAACTAATTCATATAGGCAAACTAAAAATAATGCATAGGTTTGCTAACAAGGTAAATATATAAATTATTGTAAGAATGAAGAGAGAAAATGTAATTAACTGCTCTTAATAGAAAAAAATAGAATGAAAATTATCTAACAATTTGATATATCAAGCAAGTAAAAAAGATGAATGGAATCTGATTCATGCATGTCACTGCATATGACCACTCCTACAATTTTACAAATTACAACTGCCACAAAAATATAGGAAGGATTTAAAGGATGTTTTTATTTTTCAGTTTTGTTAAATTTCACTAACTTTGCTAGAAATTTTTAAAGAAATCTAAAAAAATGTTAAAATAAAGTATGAAAATAAAGAAAATTAGAGACTTAAAGCTCCTACATCCATTGCATAATCTCTGTGCATAACTGAACTTATTAATACTATCTTAAAGTTTGGCAGAATGATATATTGAACTTTTCACTGATTTATCCCACATTCTATTTTCAGTAATGGTGGTCATGTGTGTTTTAATGGTAGGTTTATCAGATGAAATTGTGAAATTATACATTCTTAAAGGATGTTTGTTGCTTAGTTTGGTTCCAATTTTGTCAGTGGTATAAAATATAATTTTTGGAAAAGTTGAGGACAAACACCAAGAGATGGAAATGCCTCATACTGACCATAATAGCCAGTTAAGTTAAAAATCCAGTAGAAGGGAAGTGACATTTAAAAATTAATTCTATGTGGACTATACAGTGACTAAAAACATTCTAAACAGAAAACACTGGGATGTGAATCATGCATGTCTTTTAATATAGATATCAAAACATTTTATTTTTAGATAAATGAGAAATTTTAAAATTTGTCAACATATATTACAATAATTTAGAACTGTATAAATTATGCTATTCAAAACCAGAAACAAAGCTGAAATTTGTGTGATGCCATTCTCTAAATCTAAAAGATGAGTTTAAAAGAATTAGTAAAAAAGAAACAAAAGTTGTGAAATAAAATACCTGTGGTTCTATAATGGAGGAATCGGTAGCTCGCTGTACAACATCATACTAAACAAAAAAACAACATGTATATAAACATAAAACCTACATAACCTGCATTTACATATTTGTCTCGTTGTCTTATTAACAAAATCAAATCTCAACATTTTAGTTTTTGACTTCCATACATCCGAGATAATTTAATATTTTGTAATACAATTTTATCTACATGGGATAAACTACAGAAAAATCTGTCTTCCGTGACTATCCAACGGAAACTAAAAAAGTTCACTATAGAAAGGTGGACTTAATATAAATGTTCAGTCTACAGTATGACATTTAATATTGAATATAAAAAAAAACAGATGATTCCAACTCATGAATATGAACTATTATAACTATAACCATTAAAGGGGCATTAGCTACAATTTAGTCAAAAAATTTAATATGAAATTTTTTATTCAAACATTTATAAAAGTGAAACAAGGGAGCCACTTTGTTGACTGAATCAGCCCACAAAAAATATCAAAAACATTTTTTAATTTATGACAAAAACATAAAACAGTCTATATTTATTATTACATCCGATCATATGACCATCAGCAGTTTTCCAAGGTCATCTCTATGGTTTATTAGATGGCATCTTGTCTTAAATACTGATACATTATACAAGAGTCCAAGCATTGTTAGTTGTTCCTTTTGGACTTTCTCCATTTTGATATACGTTTTAGTATGTAATAAATCACATATGGAAGTTTAAGTCAGCTTGTTCCCCTTTAAGGTAGTTGGGGTGTCTACATGTTCAACGATAGATTTTTCTTAAACTTCTGTAACAGACTTTTTGTACTTTCAAAATTCAATATAAAAACTGGAGGTCTGGGACCTTGTTTTTTTGTTAAAATACATTGAAATTAACAAAATCACAGTTATTTGGGTTATATATGGGAAACTTAATTTGTCCTTATTGCAGAAACATTAAACAATAGAATTATTTAAATTCAAGGGTAGAAATGCTTTTCATAAATACTTCTGAAATATCAAATAAAATTAGGGGGTCACAGGCCTTATTTTCTTGAAAAATACAAATAACACAAATTGCTCCATCAAATTCAGTATAATTATCTGCCCTTGATTTTAAAAGGATTTTTTCTGAAACTCTTAAATACACCTAACGACACTTAATATTTTGATAGTTTAATCTTTTAATTTCAAGTGTTAGATGTTTCTATTGTATTTGAATGATACCTGGTAAAATATTTTTAAACCAAAAGAGTATTTTTGCAACATGCCCAGAAGGGATGCTCAGAAAAAGACACCCAATCTAACTTAAGGCTAAAAATTTTGGTTATAATGTAAAGATGGTATGGATCTGTTTTTAAAAGATTAAAGAAAAACAAAAAAAGACATTTTTGAATAAATATATATGCAATGGTGTGACTAGTTTTCAGTATTTTATCTTTACTAAGTAAGGCCATTTATGAGCCTGTAGAAATAATTGTTTATTTATCAATTTCGTTTGACAAAAACATATCTCCTCCTGTTTGCTTCTGTCTATTAAAGTTATATTGGACAACAACTGTAAATAATCATTTGATCTACACCATACATCTTAAGAAACAATTCAATGCAAACTGTAAGGTAAATCCCTCATATATAGAAAGAAAGTCCGTAGTTTTTAAATTTATTTACAAAATTTTTCATGATTTTTCAATTAATTTTTTTTACATAAACCTTAATTTCTATTTGAGTAAAAGTGGTGATCTTGATTGATCAGCAAGTGTATAATTTTACGACTGTACAGCAATAAACATAGGCCTGATGGTTTCAGATAAAAAGATTTTGTTAAAACAAACAGCTGATGATTCAAAGCATCACAAATTAGTTGCAGTAAATAGTCATTTGTGATTAAAGAAAGAAGTGCTCTGAAATCAGTTTTACATCAGTTATTATCTTGTGTGCAAATACAAAAAGCTATTCCTTAATATATGAATCCAGTCTTTGTTAAAGTAATTCAAATCCACATCAAGTAAAATGAAAACAGCAAAACTAACATATCCCTTTCATACATGGTGTTCTAGTATTAATCAATGTGTGTATGTCCACAACATGTATGTAGAGTCATTGAGACAAACTCCTTTATAAATGACCTGTGTACCCACCTTCTGTCAATCTAATTCTTACCTGTCTCTCCTTATTCCATTCCTGTGTAAGAGCACTCACTTCCTGTTTTTGCATAACTTCTTTCTGAATCATGGATTCTCCATGTGACTTTTTTAATTTCTCCTGTAAGTCCCAAATCTCTACCTGATGTTGCTGCTTTAAGCTTGTGATATCTTGTTGTAACTCTGAAACTTGGGTTGATATTTCTAAGTCTTTGTCCTACAGTATAAATTTTTTTTAAGATAGATAGTAAAATCAATGACTCTAATCAAAATGTTTGTGAGTACTAAAGGGTGAAGATTGCATTTTATTAAGCATTGGAAACAATAGTATGAATTGGGAGTCCATAATTGTAGTTGATTCATCTACATTTATGGACAAAGGAAGATAAGTTTAATTCTAAATATCACTTTCTCAATGACATGTGGAACAGATACTATATTTATGCACCATTGATGTAATTTTCTTGAAAAGTATTGTTATACACATTTTGGCTTTATCAAAATGAAAAGGCTTCATTTCTACCAAGTGGGATATCCAGTGAACGAAAACAAAAGAAAATTCACTCTTCTTATGATAGAGTCGAGAAAGTGAAATAATAAAACAATACCGGTGACGATACTGATCAAAAGTTATTTCTAAATAATAATTGTGTATTTTAAAGAAATTATTTGTTAAACTGTGTTACTAGAAATATACATACAAATACACGATGTTTTATGTTCAGTATTTATCGAGATAATTGCTTCAGAAGCTTGTGAAACTGAAATTTAAAAACTGCCAATCTTTGCTGCAAATTGATAAAAAAAATTGGAAAAAATGATGTACATACAAAATCAAAAGATCTTTCAGGTCACCAATTTTCTGAGTGTTCCAAAAAGTCCTTAGCATGTTACAATTTCCCAAAGTATGCCTATTTTTTCACACCTAAGTTATTGAACAAACTGGTCTGCTCTTGTTACATGTACATTCAATAGAAAATTATTGTCTTTTTGTGAATATAAACATTTACAAGTCTGTCTGTGCAGGTTAAAAAATTAAAGATAACTATTTTTATAAAGTATGTATCTTTGTACTATTTTGTATATTATTTTAAGAAAAGGTCGTCTCGAGTTTTGTACAAGTATTTGCGGTCTTCTCGATCTATTCACATTCAATGTTTACATCGAGATAAGGTCTGTTTGATTTTGCTTAGTAATTTAATTTCAAAAGTGCCAATCTTTGCTGCCTACCAATCGATTCCTTTGGAATTTTTTCCCCGACTTTCTCTGATCTATTTGTTTATATATACGAATAATTAGCATGTTCCAGAGAGGTGTACAGACAGTAAAAAAATTAATTGAAGTTGGTACTTGAGGAATTTATTCCCATAGCAACATTTTAAACCAATTTTACACCAAGCTTCTATGGCCTGCTGTACTCGTCATTTGCTACTTAAGGAGGAAAATGATAACATTGAGTGGAAGTTTTGTTTTTATTTCAATTTATTTCAATTTTTACTATTTACCAGAACGTTTTTCCGTGAATCCATAATTGATAGCGTCCTTGCTAAAATGGGACAAACATTGAGAAGATCTAGTTTTCAGTGTTTACAGGGGAGGTAATATTTTGTCACTAGATTTCCCACTGTACCCTTTCCAATAGGTTCTTTTCTATGGAAAATGTGTTATAAATTTTTGCAGTCATTTCAAATTTCAGATATTTTAACCAAAAACCTTGACAAAATTGAATGTATAAGAAAACTACATTGAACAATATAACAAGCTACTTCTTTCCTTGTCCTATTTTTCCACAATTTGTTTTGTATTAGTTTTGACAGTCTAAAATCTGCTTATTATGATGAAGGAATTTTCATTTGTAGTGACACCATAGATTTGTGAGAATGACAAAAAATCAATAACATGGAATAGAAACCCCAAAATTATTTGGATAAAAAGTAAACAATGACACTATGTAAGAAATCATCTGTGACAATTTCAATAAAATCTCTGTCAGACTCATAAAAGCTGACAACATAACATTTTTTGCAGAATTTTTCAGTAAAAATATTACTGTTTGTCCTACCATTAATCGTCCCTCCCATTCTTCATTCATTTTATCATACGCCTCATCTTTCTCCTGTAATTCTTTGTGTAGGTCTGTTACTGTCTGGTTATGGTCTTGTAAAAGGCGGTTTTCTCCTCTCTGAGATTTATCTGAAAATAAAAACACATAAATTTTTTGACAGACATTTATTTAACCGATCGAACTTTTTGTTTTGTTTTGTTTATTTTTATGATATATGTTTCAGGATATTTAAGCTTTATATAGATTATAGTTAATCAAGCTGTAATTAATTTCATCATCATGTCTGTTTTGTTTTTGTAAATGTTTGAAAAAAAAAAAATCATACTTGAATTTTTTCAAATTATACTGTCTAAGTCGTAGATGTTTTTTTAGGCAAAGATACACAACTAGGCAGTATGTCAGATTTTAAAGAAAGGTTGAACACATTTCGACCTCACGAACTATAGTAAGACAAAAGTAGTGTTCCATTTTTATTTCCATTTTGAAATATATAATGTCTTCCTAGAATTAAATGGGTAATTTGCTTATTTCAATGAAATCCTAGACTGAACTTTATGGAGATAAATGGTATCATGCTTACACTATGATAATAAACATAAAAGAATGAATCTGCGTTATAGGAAATTAGTGATGAAAATTGCTTTAATATAATACTTTCTATATGCCAATAGATAACCTTACCTAAAGCATTAGAGAATGTTTTCTCAAATTCTTTCTCTTTGCCTACCATTGTCTTGTTGAATTCCTTAACCAGTTCTTTGATCTTGCCGTTATGGTCATTCTCTGTATCCTGTAACAACTCCTCATAATGTTGCTTCATTTTCTCTAATTCTTCTTCCTGTTTCTTCACCAACGATTCACTATTTTCCTCTTTGTCTTGCTTAACATCACTGAGTTCTTTTTCTATTTTATTTTTTTCTGATTTTAATTGTTTTAAATCAGACTGATATGATTCTGACAATTTGGAAAGTTTGGATTCCAGTTCTAGAATCTGTTTGTTTAGTTCCTCTTTATCATGTGACAGTTCCTCTACCTTCTGCTGTAAGTTTTTCATTTCTTGTGAATTTGATTCAGATTTTTGTTTTTGTTCGGTAGCTATCATGTCTTTAGATTTTTGTTCGGAGTCTAACATCTGTTGGAGATGTGAATTTTCACTTTCGTGCTGTTTTAACAGTTTATCTCTCTCTGATGATGCTTCCTCTAACTGACATTGTAATGTCTGATACCTTTCCTCAAAGTCTGATATTTGTTTGGAATGTTGAGAGAGTAAAGATTCTTTCTCTACTTGCATTTGTTTTTTTACTTGCGAAATATAACTTTCTGCTTTTTTCTTATACTCTGACACTTTAGAAGTGCTATCCATGTCACATTTCTGGGTCAATTCCTCAATTTCTACTGAATACTTATGTTTTAACTCACATAATTCACTTTCAAATTTCCCTTTCAAGATTGATTCTAGTGACAACTTTTCATTCAATTCATCAATTTCAGCTTTAAACTTGGTTTCTAAAGTTTCTATTTCTAAAGATTTATCCCTACTGAAGCTTTGAGTAAATGCAGACAAGTTTTCTTGATATGATGTTTCTGCTTCTGTTTTTTCTGATAAAGCTTTGTTCAATTCACTTTCTAAGTTTTTCACTTTAATATTAGAATTGTCTAACTGCTCTTTAATGTTTTCATAATCCTTTATTTGCCCAACTGAAGAGTTCAATTTTTCTTGCATATTTTTAACTTCATTTTCTAAAGAATGGACATTTTGTTCTTCTTCACACAACAATTTCTGAAGTTCACTACATTGTTTTTCTCTTTCCAACACTTCCTTTTCTAAATTTGCTATCTTTAGGTGGCTATCTCCAACAGATTTTTGACAATTATCAGAAATTTCATTTAATTTAAGTTCAATGGCCTGGCAATTATTTTTCACTTCCTGTAATCTTGTCTCTTTTTCATTAAAATCACTTGTTAATTTTAGTATTGTATTTTCCTTCTCTGTAATTGTTTCCCCTTGTTCACGTAATTGTTTTTCCAAATCAACAATGGCCATTTGAGAAGACCCAGAATTTTCTTCTAATTGTAAAAGCTTGGTATTGGAATGTACAAGTTCAGCAGAAATTGAGTCTTTTTCCTCTTGTTCAGTACTTAATTTTTTTTCTAAATCACTAATTCTGATTTTAACTTTTTCTTCACGGTCACTAATGGTTTGAACAGAGACAATTTCAGAAGCAAGTCTTTCTTCCAATATAGTCACTTTAGATTTTAAAGCTGAGTTTTCTGTCTTAAATCTTTCCTGTTCTGAAGCAAATCTAGCATTTAATTCTTCCTTTTCAGCTTTTCCTTTCTCAGTAATGCCTACAGCTTGATTCTGAAGGTCCTGAATTTTTATTTTGACTTTCTGTTTCAATTCATTGTTCCTACTTTTCCACTGTTCATCAAGAGCGACAATCTCTGCTTTATGAACTTCTGCCTGCTCTAATAATTTCTGTTCACCTTCACGTACTTTTGACTGAAGAGAATTCTCTAGGTCTTCAGAAGTCATTCTTGCCTGTTTATCTATGTCTTCTAATTGTTTTTTTAGCATGCCTTTTTGTTCCTCAAAACCTTCAGTTTCTCTCTGTAGTTTAGAATTTAATTCTTCAATTTGAACTTCATAACTCTGCATACAATCAACTAATTTTGCTTCTGCTTCATTTACCTTGGTATTCAACTGTGTCAAATTTGACTGTAGTTCAACATCATTGGCTGACATTTCAGCCAAACGTTTTTCATACTCTTCCTTTACAACTTTTAATTCTTTGTTTTTCGCCTCCTTTAAATTTTCACTTTCAGATTTCATTTCCTCACACTTTGACTCAAGACCTTTTAACCTCTCGTCTTTTTCACTTAATGTTGAATTTAAGTTATCTATTTGTACCTGAAAACCATTGCACTGTATTTCTAACTCTTTTGCTATTGCATCCTTTTGAATAAGCTCTGACTCAATCTCCTTTACTTGTGACTCACATTCTGATTTTACCTTCTGACCATTATTATCTAATTCCTCCTCTAAGGATTTAATTCTATCGTCCTTATTTTGAGTTTGATCATTTAATGCATGCAACATTTCTTCCATTGATCTATTAGCCTCTTCTAACTGACTAATTCTCTCTGATGACTGAGAAATAATCTGATCTTTTTCTTGCTTTTCATGATCATGTTTTTCTGACACTGTAAACAAAGCAGTATTTAATTCTTCAATTTTAGCCTCTAAAATTTTACATTTTTCTAAATTTTCTGTATTTGTCTGATCTCTGTTTTGCAGTTCTTCATTGTGTTTTTTTAACACGTTCTCCATTTCATTTTCCAAAGTAAGTTTAGCATTACTCAGTTCATTTAATTTTTGATCCATTTCATCTTTGATATTCTTGACTTCATTTTCTTTATCCTCCGTCATTTTCTGCAGTTCATTATCTCCCCTAGCTTTTTCTTTATTCAGTTTTTCCTCCCACTCCTGAGTCAGAGAAGTAATCTCCGATTTATGATGGTCTGAAAGCTCACTAAATTGTCGCTCTTTCTGTTCATTCATTGTCTTCATCACATCTTGTGTGCCCATGTCTTTCTGAGTCAGTAACTCTGTTATGGCCTTTTCATGTTCCTGTTCCTTTTCAGCCATTTTTTCTTGGTAACGCTCCTTAATCTTATTCATATTATCTTTATACTGACTTTGTAATTCCTCAAACCTCACTTTGAATCCCTCTTCCATGTTTTTCAAATTTGTTTCTCCTTCACTAAGTTTCTCCTCTAGTTCTTTGATTCTGACATTAAACTTGTTTGTACTTTGTTCTCTCTCTATCTCAAAATCTTGTTTCATTTTTTCTTTCTCTTCACTCTCAGTTTGAACTTTAAGATTAGCTTGATCCAAATTTTCCTTGAATTCTTTTAACCTTGTTTTGGCTTCATTACGTAATCTGTCAAATTTTTCTTTCATTTTACTAATTTCTTCGTTTTTTTCTTTTATTTCAACTTCAAAAGTCTGAATTTGTGAATCACTTCCTGTAAGTACACTCTGACTGGCCTTTAATTCTTCACTTTTTTCTGCTAAAGCTTTCTCAATGTCACATATAATCACATCTTTCATTTCAAGGTCATGTGATAAAGCTGATATCTTATCTTCTAAGCTTGACTTCTCCTTTTTCAGATGTTCTTGACTTGTGTTAAATAAATCTTTTGTCTCATTCACCTTAACATTTAAATCTTCATTGACCTTCATACTTTCATTCAATGATGTTTCAAATGATCTAATTTTTTCTTCCAATGCCTGTTTCTCGCATTCAACCTTTGTCAGAATGCCATCTACTTCCTGCAACCTCATTGCTTTCGAATCAAGTTCTATAACTTTTGAATTAGCATCAACAAGTTGTGATGTTAAGTCCTCTATTTCTTTATCGCTTTTCTCAATCTGTAATGTCATTGTTTTAATACTTTCCTCTGATGAAGCAGATATTGCTGACATGGTATTGCTATGATCTTGTAAAATTTCCTCCACTTTGCGTTTCCATTCTATCTCACAAGCAACAGTTTCTTGTCGCATGGTGTCAATCTGTTTCACATGTTCATCTAGTTTCTCAGTCATGTATTTGTTTTCTGATTCTAACTGTCCACATTTACTTTCTAATGACTGAACTTGACCTTTTAGCAAATCTCTTTCCTCCTCACTTGAAACTTTGGCTGACTCAAATTGTTTTATTAAATTCTCAAGATCTTTTTGTAATTTTTCATTTTCTTCTGATTTGCTTTGAATACATTTCATTGTCTCTTCTTTTTCAGATTCAAAATTAGCTTTCATCTGTTCAATATTGCTCTCTTTCTCTGCTAAGGTTGACTTCAACTGATGTATGTTAGCACTAAGTTGTTCTGCCTGTTGGCTGCGTTCCTGTAACATCTGTTCCATATTGGATTTCAGTGACTTTATTTGTTCTTTATAATAAGATTCCAGATCAGAACTTGATCCCTGCATGGATTCCTCATGTTTCCTGGTAAGATCTTCTAGCTGAGCACTATGTTGTTCCATTATTTCCCGTATCTGATCCTGTGCAGCTCGTAAAGATTCATGTTTCATGTTTTCCACCTCCTCTTTATGCTTTGACTGAATATTTTGATACTCAGCTGTGAAATTTTCCTGTTGCTTCTTCAATTTTTGTTCAAATTCTACAATTGTAGCCTCATTTTGATCTTTCAAAGCTGATAAGGCACTCTCTAGCTCTGTTCTTTTCTGTAAATTGAAGAAAATTCTAAATATTTCAAAAATTCAAAGTCATATGAAACTTCAAATTTTAATAAAAAGTTGAATATGTTTTATATACTTGAATGGCTAAGTTATACTATTAAACAAGTGTAAGTAAACTTTCTTGTAAAAGAATATCCTTTATATTATCAAAATCTTCATAAATGTACTGCTATTGAATTATTGTCTTCCAGTACACTAATTCGCCAATATTTTCCCGTATGTAGTGAACTTTAATAAACATCTCATTAGAACTGGACAGCGCAAGTGCAAGGGGAAAATCGTGATGAAAGAATGTCAACAAACATATTTAGATTTAGAAAGTAAAATAGTAATAACTGATTCTTAAAGAACAAATTTTATATAACAATTCATTTAACAGCTGTTAAGGAAAAGTTTAATCAACAAATGGGTACTCATGCAAAATATAAAGAAAAATATCCTGGCTCTGTCAATTCACTTATTTGTCACATGCTCCATATGCTCTGAGTTGATTGATTATCAATGTCCTGACCCCGTAAACTTCAGCAACAAACTCGAAAGTTAATTAGCTTGCGATCAACAATCACTGAATGAAATATTATTGTTGATAATATGGTATAGATTCATAATAAATATAAAAAAGCGTAAAAGTATATATGCATGCTCTTTGGTCGGGTTGTTGTCTCTTTGACATATTCCCCATTTCCATTCTCAATTTTATGCATTGGTTCAACAATTTCGATAGCATTTAAATTACAAGAAACTTGTTTCATATGACTTTAACCACATTTATTTTTAAAATACTTACACTAGTCAATAATTTCACCTCCTCCTGTAACTGTTCTCTTAGTGTGCCCTGTTGTGACATGGCAGCCATTTTTTGAAGGTCACGTTCCTCGACTGCCAACTTCATTTCTTCATCTTTTTCTGATAATCTGTGATTTATTTCTTCCTCTAACTGACGAACAGCTATATCTTTCTCTTTTGTCTATTGAAAAGAAATTATTTGAAAGAAAATATATCATTACATGCAAGGTAAATGTATGTGAAAAATACAAACGATAAACAGTATACACCTCCTACATTTTCACTTTAAAGCCATCTATACGTCGCCATATAAATATCTCAAGTTATACACCATTAAAATCTTGTAAGTCTAGAACAACAAATCCAAAAAGCTACAAAATTAAACTAGAGTTTCATTTCCCCAAATTTTGTTTATTGAAAACCCCATTAGTAAAATTATATAGTTTTTGGGGACTTTTTTATCATCAAATTCACATCACTCAACAACAAAACTCAAAAGCTTAATTTTTTAATTGCCAACATTATGATTGAGAATCATAACAATCAATAAAAACAAACAAGATTGTATTTAAAAATAAAAATGGTGATGGATGAACATATAGTAATTACTGTACAACACTTATGGAATTTAGACGCCCTGAAGATGCAAATTAAAATATATCAAAGATCTTAAAATGGCAAAGGAGGGATATATGTTGCGCAAGACGAAAACCTCATGCCATGAAACAATGGGGAATATCAAAATATTAAAGAACAACACTTTTTGCTGTTCTTTGTACGGGTCTTTCTATGATGAGCTCAATCTCAAACCTTACAGTAACCAGGGTCAATATTGTAGGAGCTTTGATTTCCTAACTGTGATCATTTTCAGAAAATTGTAATAAAGACACTTTCTTAACTTTTATTCATGGTCATACATGTATATCTTTAATTGTGTGAGAACATTTTCTTTAGTCAAAATAATTGTGTAAAAGGGCAGAGCATTACATCCAAGCACAGAAACTGATATCCATTTGTATTACACAATTTTCTGGGTTAAGCAATCTTAAATATAAGCTTATAAAGCAAAGAATATCTCAAATCAATCTTCCTCAAATATTTATAAGCCTAGAAGTAATCACTTATGTCAATTGTCATATGAGACATCCACTACCTCACCCTTTCTTTCTCTTTCTGAGCAATTTATTTCTTCAACTTATTGATTACTACCTATACATACAAGGGTTTGTATGGCACTTGAATGTTGTTTCTCTAAGTCATGTATTTGTTTTTCCCAGAACTGATCTCTTTCCTCCACTGTTTTCTGAACTTCTCCTTCTACTTTCTTGTGTGTTTCTTCCTGTAATAATTACTAGAGACTTAAAATAAAAAGCAAAAAGTAGAAGAAATAAGTCAAAATACCAAACAATGTTTGCTATACTATACCATGCCAAATATGGGTTCTTTAGACCATTTTCTCTTTATATTTTAAAAGAAAAAAAACACTTGCAATTATTTCTCTTCTTATAAAAAATGCTCTACACAAAAGGCAGAATATTTTCCAGTTAATAGATACTTTTTCTTTTAATTTCTTTCTATCTACCTCTTGATTTGGTTATTTCTCTTTCATACCTGTAAGCATGTCACTGCAGCAGCCTTTGCCCTTGACAATTCCTGTATCAGGTTTTCTTTCTCCTCTTCAATGGTTTTTTCTGCTTGTTTTATTCTCTCTTCTGATTCAACTATCACCTGCTTCTTTTCATCTTTTAACCTCTTTATTATCTCCCTTGATTTCTCTAGTGTTTCCTGGCCTAAAATATCACAAGTATAGACAAATAATGTCTCTACATAAAAGATACAAGTACTAATTGAAAACATTAAAATAACATATCAATAAGGAATAGCTATATGAATTAAGATGTGCAAAAACCTATTGTATACTAATCTAGTTCAGGGGTAGAAATAAGAAAAGACCATTGACTTGCCCTCTGGGCAAGTCAATATATAGATTAATTTGCCTTCCTTTTTTTTAACTTCCTCTACAACTGCGTTCAGCGAAGCCTTACACGCCGACAAGCATAGCTCGTAGTGCTTACGGCCGGCGGTCTGTGGGCCGCTTAAGGACCACAGAAGCTCTGGGGTAAATGAAGCCAAATCCTGCATTCTAGTCCTCTCCTGGCATATAATTTCAGGTTTCCATAAACTAATTTTTTAAAACAAAAACTTTTACTTTTTCAAAAAAAAGAGAAAAAAAATTTCAGATGTACGTGTAGAAATTGACCCAGTTGTCAAATTTTCTTTCTACTTTCATTTTTATTTCAACCCAAAAGTCATTTCCAAAACGCGTTCTGATTAGATAGTTGTATCGACTTCCTTTTACGAATCGTAGTGGAAATCCCTGAGCAGGTGCAACTGAACATTCTAAAACGTCGTCGCTCATTGGCTTACACATAGGAATTGACCAATAGAATTATTTGGGGGAAACCACGATGTTTCCGATTTTCCAAGCATGCGCATATGAAACCAATTCAGAAAACAAAAATAGTAATACAATAATACACACACCTCGGAGAAATCAACGTCTGACATACACAAACACAATATTTCAACTTGCCCAGCAGACAACTATGTGATGGGTTTCACTTGCCCGCAGCAGATTTACTTGCATCCGGCAAGTGGGATAGCGCTTATTTTGAACCCTGTAGTTTGTTAAATTACATGTACATGACTGATATATTTTCCCTTTAAACCAATCTAAGACAATGGGAAAAAATAAATTAATTGGTTCTCCTGGCTTGCATTTATCCTAGTAAAAATAATAGAACTGAAAAATAAACAATTCACCAAAGTTTTATGCAAATTGGTTAAAGCGTTTTTGAGTTAATGTCCGACATGTTGATGACGGACGGACAGACGGACGGACAACGGTATACCATAATACGTCCCGTAAACTGGCGTATAAAAACTCTGCATTGTTCATGCATGTTGTTTGTCATTTAACATGTTAAGGTGCTCAAAAGGAGGGGATTTCAAAATCCTCTACTTTTAATGTTGAATTGTATTAAGTTTTACCTCTATTAAACTCCTATGGTTTGAGTTGTAAAAATAATTAACAAAATAGATCTCTTTGATGTTTTTCAAAGACTAAAATGTTTCTAACATTGATGCACCTAAAAAAATAATAATTTCTGTGGAAATAAGATACTGTATATCAGGTTTTTTTTAGTGTAGGCTTTTTTTCGCGATTTGATGACAAAATAGGTAGGTTAAATTTTCACTGTGTATAATATACGCTGAAAGGGAAAATGCACGCGAAAAAAATAACTGTATCATATTGTTAAATATGTTAACAACAAAAACTTGATTGACAGACAGGTAATCGACAAACAACTACAATGTATGAGTACTGCAAATTAAAATACACATAATTCAGAGAACTTTCAAGGAATATAAATTATGTACAATGTGGCATGCTAAAAATTGAAGGTTTTGATCATTTGTGTAATGATATAACAAATGTAAATATCTGTGTAAATGTGATTTATTTTTTATTTCATTTTTACATTATATGCAAAACTTTTTGGGTTATGACACCAATCAATAAATCATCTTTTAACATGTTATTGATTGCTGTGTTGCCAAAAGGTGTCACATATATGATTAGCTTATTTAATTATTATGAAAACAGATCTTAAGTATGCTTATTCTTATGATCTGTAGAACATCACAAAAGACTGAATTTGTATATAATGTTTTTTCACCTTTAGGGTGGAGAGATTTCAAATCAATTTCGTGTATTCTCGAAAATTAATAGTATAATGTATGAAACTTTCAAACAGCGATAAATCTTTGAATATGCACGGAACTTTTTAAAGTTTTTTTGGCTGCCGTGAAAAAGCGATAATTAAACATATGCGAAAAAAATCTGACATACTCACAGGAGAGGGCCAAATAATCTGCATGGAAAGGAGATGTGCCAATGCTTATACAGCTGCATACACCATATCATTGACTTACAATAAGTGGCTCCTCTTAAACTGACCTAATCATAAACTTTAACATGTAAGCTATGCAAAAGTTACAAAGTCAATAGACCATTACTGAACAAGCACAGCTAAACAATCCCCATGGAAATTAGATGTGCAAATGTTAAAATATTTGTATATCATTGACTTACCATTCATGCCATTATTTGGGTATACTGATATAAACTTACTGGACTTCTCTAGTCTATCCACTTTATCTGTGTTAGTTTTATTTTCTTCCTGGAGTAAGGCACACTGCTGTCTGATTTCCCTTAGTTCCTGATCCTTAAGTTCCATTTCTTCATGCACCTGTTTCTTGACCTCAGCAATGGCAACCTCTCTATCCACCTCCAGTTGTTCTATAACTTTCCGAGCTTCCTTCATCTGGTTCTGCAGTTTAATCATAGTGTCTGGTGCAGCAGATGTCTGCAAACAGCATAAAATATAAACACTGATTCAATTAAAATAAATGGACAATGTGTCTATGGGCCACAGATCCCTAAGGGGCATAACTCAAGAACAGTAAAAGTGACGCTACCCAATTTCAAATCTGATCTGTGTTTTGTGGTAATAAGTATTGTGTATAAGTTTCATAGCATTTGGTTGAGGCAAACTAAAGCAAGAGAACAGAAACGAAAAATACAGCAAATTTTTATGTGTATAAAGGGGCATAACTCATGAACAGTAAAAGTGACGCCACCCAATTACAAACTTGAGCTGTGTTTTGTGGAAATAAGCATTGTGTATAAGTTTTATAACATTTGGTTGAGGCAAACTTAAGTTAGAGAACAGAAACCAATTTTTGGGACGTACGGACGAACAGGATGGGACGGGACGGACAAGGGTAACACTTCATGCCCCCTCCGCTACAGCGGGGGAAATAAAAGTTACTAAAGCACTGTGGGTACATAGCCAAGATTCAATCTCTACCAATTTGTAGTCAAAACAAGAGTGCACACGCTGAAATGTCTTGCCTGCTTTACTGACCATTGATTTCATGCTGATAGTCCTAAATATAAAGTTTTACTACAAGTACCACTTAAACTTAACATGATCATAGAAAATTAGGTCAAAGTCAGATAAACTAAGCCAGAAATCCATGTACACCTTAAAATCATTCCATACACCAAAAATTTTTGACCTATTGCTTATAGTATACAAGAAACAGAACAAAACATGAAAACTTTATATTGAGCAAAGAACCATGAAAATAAGGTCAAGGTCAGATGACACCTGTCAGTTGGACATGTAAACCTTACAATCATTCCATACACCAAATATAGTAGACCTATTGCTTATAGTATCTGAGATATGGACTTGACCACCAAAACTTAACCTTGTTCACTGATCCATGAAATGAGGTCGAGGTCAAGTGACAACTGTCTGACAGGCATGAGGACCTTGCAAGGTACGCACATACCAAATATAGTTATCCTATTACTCATTAGAGAGAAATTAACATTACAAGAAATCTTAACTTTTTTTTCAAGTACTGAACCATGAAAATGAGGTCAAGGACAATGGATATATGACAGACGGAAACTTCATAACATAAGGCATCTATATACAAAGTATGAAGCATCAAGGTCTTCTACCTTCTGAAATATGAAGCTATAAAGTAGTTACTTAACGCTGCTGCCTGATCAGTATCCCTATGTCTTGCTTTCTGCAGCAGAAGTCGCAGGCTTGACAAAAACTTAGAGTCAACCAAGAAACTATGAATTTGAGGTCAAGGCCAGATGAACCCTGCACACTGGATATGTACACCTTAAATTCATTTCATAATCCATATTTAGCTGACTTGTTGCCGAAAGTGTCTGAGAAATAGATCTAATCAAGAAAACTTGCAGTTTATTACTAATCCATTAATTGATGTCAAGGTAAGGTAAAACCTATCAGACGGACATGGATATTTATAATATCTCAAAATATCATGATAAAAATTGATAAATTTATGCAAATTTTGATGCAGGTAAGAAAAATTGCCTTAATTTCTGGTCTTTTTATTGCTGCAGTAACTTTGACCAGGTGACCTTAAAATTCCATACAACTGGGACATTGACCTTTAATCTACTGACAAAAAAATTTCCAAGGGCCATTCTCAAGCTTAGTATGGTGAATATTAGACATATAGTTCAACACAGATGTAGTCTGGAAACCAAAAGTTTGACCCAGTTTCAATCTATCAAATGCTGCTGTTGCCTTGACCTCTGTCCTCCTGACTTCAAAATCAATAGGGGTTTCTATCATCTGATGGGACATTATCAAATCAAGTTTGGACATATAGTTCACAAATAACATTAAGGAAACCAAAATATTTCCAAAATTGTTTATTCAAAGCTGCTGTGACATTGACCTCTGAGTTATTGGCCCTAAAATCAATATGTTTTCCATCTGACACATGATGCATTTTCAAATCAAGTTTAATAAGAGTTGATTCATAAGATAACATCCCAAAATCAAAATTTTCTCAAATTTCAGTCTACCAATAGTTGCACACATAAATCTTTTCATTTTGGTTTTGTTAGATCCAGAACTTGCATGAAATATTTGTCAACAGATATTAAGCAATCAATTAAACATTTACATTTTTGTGAGTCTATATGTATTTTTTTTTTGGAGGGGGTAGGGTCAAGCTAGGATAAATTGGAGTGTGATATTGTTTTACATTAATCTTTTAAGTATAGATTTAGATTTCTATAAGTAAATGTTTTTCAAATATTTAGATTCAGGCATAAAACTATAAAACTTTCACTTATTAGGCAAATAGAAATCTCATAACAGAAGAGTTTCAATTGTATATTAACTTATATAAATCAGGCTCAAAAAGACATTTACTTTGTAATAAATTATATCAGGAGAAGAGAGTTTGAGTAGTATTTGGCCCCTGTAAATAAACTCATCATAGATACCAGGATTAAAATTTTGTACGCCAGACAAGGCGTTTCATCTACAGAAGACTCATCAGTGACGCTCATATCAATAAAGTTAAAATGTAAATGAAATTTTAATTTGCCTCTATAGGTAATTACCCCATTTTTAAAGTGCCTTCCTGGGTACAATCTATGTTTTAATGGAACAGCCCTAAACAACTCTGTGGATACTTTACCTTTAATTTCTCTAATTCTGTATTTTTCTCTTGTAGCTGTTTGTTAATCTGATCTTTTTCTGTTGTGATCTGTGCATACTTCTCTTTGTTTGTTTTGATGGTATCTTTACACCTGCTTAATAATCCCTCCAGCCTTTTCACCTGAAATTGATAAAGAAAATCAAATAAATACTAATATGAAAGGAAATATGCCAATTCTACTTTAATAACCATTTTTTTTTTCTCCTCATGAGCAAATGGTCTTAACTATTGATAGAATATCAAATCAAATGATAAATTTGTCGTTTATTCTTCAAATAATTGCAGAAAGTATGAATTACAAACCTTTTCATTTAGAATTTTAACATCATCAGTTTGTATGTCTGAGTTGTCTCCTTTCCCTACTTCCTTACTCTGAGGTTTAGCTTTAGTAACTTTGTTCTCCAATTCTGGTGGAATCTCTTTACCTTCTCTAAGTAAGCGAATCTACAAATAAAATAAGAAGTGGTTTTTAAAGAATTCAAACAAAAACAACAACTGATCTGAAAATAGATCAAAGATTTAAATGGGTGAGTTGCTCAGAATGTTATTTAGCAATGGAGATAATGGTCTATAATTACCATATAAATATATGGAAATATAAAATGGAAAAAAATGAGGGGGGATCTTTAAACAACTCAATAGTGCAAGTACACAACTTCAATGGGTGTGCAAACTTGCAAAATTTCTGAGAAATTTAAAGATAAGGCTGAAAAATTCAGGAGCAGTTGATTACAAATAAAAGAAGAATGTGTCCATGGGATTGTGTGTAAAAATGCAGGAGTCAATGCACTAATTCAAACCTACTGAAGTTTTGTTTTCTTTGAAACTTAATGACTTTTGTACCTGTATGTTGAGTGCGCAAAACAGCAAATTTGGCAATTTTCCATTTACAAAGGGCATAACACATGAACAGTGAAAGTGACGGCACCCAAATTCCAGCTTGGTCTGTGTTTGGTGTTAACAAGCATTGTGTATAAATTTTATAACATATGGTTGAGGTAAACTAAAGTTAGAGAACAGAAACCAATTTTCGGGACACACAGATGTACAGACAGACAAGGGTAAACCTTTAATGCTCCCTTCGCCTAGCGGTGGGGCCATAAAAATTGGTAATGTTTGAAAATTTTGTGGAAAATTGTCTAATTTCTTAAGACTGAAAGAAAAATGAGAAAATTTTTTTTTAACAATTCTGTAATACCAGGTGCACAACTTCAACATGTGCACAATCTATCCATCAAGTTTCAAGGATCTAGGTTTAAAACTGATAACACAATAAAAACACAACACAGTACTTCCCAAAATCCCTTTGATTCATGTTTGCATTATAATACAAAATAGTTTGTTTAAGGCATTCTTCATCTATATGGCTACATATTACTCAAACAGTTTGGTTTCAGATCAAAATTTTTTCAGTTTTGAAAATTGTTTCATGTCTCATGGGGGTCAAAGTAAAACTCACAAATTTTCAATCAAATGTGATAAAAGTCGAACTGTGAACTGTAAAAGATTATTATTAAACTGCATCTTCTTTTGTAATCTTTGCTAAAGGTTTTCATTATAATAATGAGTAGGGAGTACAAGATTTGTTTTATTAGATAAGACCTTCATTGTTATAGCATTTCTATTTGGCTATGACAAATTGGCTTTCATAAACTTATATATACAATTCTTTTAATTATCTAAATTGTATACCTGCATCTGAAACACTTTGATGTGCTCATCCTTTTCTTCCAACATAAGTCGGTAGTTCTCCTCAAGATCTTTTTTAGCCATCAGATCCAATTGAATCTGTTCTTTTAGCTCTGATATCCTACGGAAAGCTTTGTCCTGAGTCATTGTAAGTGTGGTCTGAAAATTTGTATTAAATTTGTAGGATAAAGCTTTATAACAATCAAACAAGAGTGCACACGCTGAAATGTCTCGCCTTCTTTATTAATCATTGATATTATGTTGATAGTCCTAAATATAAAGCTTTATTACAACTGTCACATAAACTTAACATTAACCAAGTAAACTAAACATTGACCAATGAACCATGAAAATGAGGTCAAGGTCAGATGAACCATGCTAGGCAGTCATGTATAGCTAACAATTCTTCCATACAACAAATATAGTTGACCTATTGCTTATAGTTTAAGAAAAACAGACCAAAACACAAAAACTTAACACTGAGCAATGATCCTTGAAAATGAGGTCAAGGTAAAATAAAACCTGCGTGACTGACATATAGATCATAAAATATTTCCATACACCAAATATAGTTGAACTATTGCATATAGTATTAGAAAAAAAGACCAAAACTCAAAAACTTAACTTTGACCACTGATCCATGAAAATGAGGTCAAGGTCAGATGACACCTGCCAGCTAGACATGTACACCTTACAATCATTCCTTACACCAAATATAGTTGACCTATTGCATACAGTATAAGAAAAACAGACCAAAACACAAAAACTTAACACTGAGCAATGAACCTTGAAAATGAGGTCAAGGCCAAATAAAACCTGCGTGACTGACATATAGATCATAAAATATTTCCATACACCAAATATAGTTGAACTATTGCATATAGTATTAGAAAAAAAGACCAAAACTCAAAAACTTAACTTTGACCACTGAACCATGCATGAAAATGAGGTCAAGGTCAGATGACACCTGCCAGCTATACATGTACACCTTACAATCATTCCATACACCATTTATAGTTGACCTATTGCATATAGTATTAGAAAAAAAGACCAAAACCCAAAAACTTAACTTTGACCACTGAACCATGAAAATGAGGTCAAGGTCACATGACACCTACCAGTTGGACATGTACACCTTACAATCATTCAATATACCAAATATAGTAGACCTACTGCTTATAGTATCTGATATATGGACTTGACCACGAAAACTTAACCTGGTTCACTGATCCATGAAATGAGGTCGAAGTCAAATGAAAATTGTCTGATGGGCATGAGGACCTTGCAAGGTACGCACATACTAAATATAGTTATCCTTTTACTCATAATAAGAAAGAAATTAACATTACAAAAAATGTTGACTTTTTTTTCAAGTAGTCACTGAACCATGAAAATGAGGTCAAGGACATTGGACATGTGACTGACGGAAACTTCGTAACATGAGGCATCCATATACAAAGTATGAAGCATCCAGGTCTTCTAGCTTCTAAAATATAAAGCTTTTAGGAAGTTAGCTAACGCCGCCGCCGCCGTAGCCGCCGCCGCCGGATCACTATCCCTATGTCGAGCTTTCTGCGACAAAAGTCGCAGGCTCGACAAAAACATAATAAATTAGGTTCTGAAATCAGTTATGGACATCTGGTTATATATATATTAATGTGTGCATTCATATTCCAATGAAATAGTAGCAATTTTATTTGTTTATTTCTTCAAATTTTTCAATTGCGTAAAATCAGCATGAAAATACAATTACTGTTGAGTCTGACTCCTCAGTAAACATAGGCTTAAAGTTTTTTATTTAACATTTCATTGATATTTTTTTAACAGTTTGTAAACTTTTTTAGAAAACGAATTATATCAAATATTTAAAACATGTTGTAAATGTAAGAAAGCGGAAATAAATTATAGATATTATGAGGTAATTTAGATCTGTTAGCAATGTTCTGTATTTATTTTTTCCCCCTTTTATAATAAGAAAACTGAATGCAATTCTTTTAAATTTCATAAGAAATGTATATTATATATATTACTTTACCCCTAATCAGTGTAAAATATCCATAAAAGCAAGTCCAATCAAATGTCCTATGAACAATCCCTTTTTAGAACTTTCAAAATTCTGCATGTTTTCAATACATTTATTAAGCCATACAGGTGCAAATAATTTGGGATGGCCTATTACCTTGATTTTCTCCCTTTCTTGAGCTAGGTCTTTGTAAGCAGCAGCTACCTGTCAACACAGAAATATTTAAAATAAGAATTGGACAAGTAATATGTGACGCTGTAAATCAATGTAGCAGACAGTCAATAAGGTTTGATTAAGCTGTAAAATGAGCAATTTGTAATGTTTATCTCCAATTCATGAATATAACATGTATAATGTAACATTTTCTTTTAGACAAAAGGCTTTTAATATTTCATTTTTATTAATTTCATCAAAGTGTGTATTATAGTGCAATCTGTAATATATGACATGTTGTTTCAGCTACATCACAAAATGGTTTCTAAATATCACGAAATTGAAATATTTTTGACACTTGCACAAAACTTATTATTTACCTGTATGTAGTTGTGCATTTAATATTTTCATCCTTATAAAAGGCATTTTTTAGCTGGTTTTAGAAGAAGTTTTATGAAGTATTTTTTACAATATTTAACTATAAAGCTTTCAAGAATATCTTATCTATCATTATTACATCATTCTGTTCAATGTTCATTCAAAGAAGGGTAGAAGGGAACAGAAAAAACTTCATCAACTATTTAAAGTTGGCTTCTACTTAAAACTATGATGGTATATATTCCATCAGAATCAAAATAATTCTCAGGAATTAGGAATTATTAGGAATATTATTTGTAGTATTTTGCACCTTGCTAACTGTATATAAAGACAACAAATACTCCTTTGCATGATTTTCATAATTTCTTATTGAATTTGTGACATAATTTCTGTTCTCAGTAACAATGGCATCAATGTTTGATCGTAGATTGATAAATACTGTAAACCAACTTATTTCGGTAGATACCTATTCAGCATTGATCTATTTTAATGATCATCTCAATTACTTGATGTATTAATATGAGATATTCTAAGTTGGACATACTCACGACAATTAAAATTGCGCTATTATTCTACTAAGTACTCAGGAAAGTCAAGGCAATAAAACTCTTGCGAAAAAAAAGTAGTTAACAATAAAATGTATACAATTCAACAAAAATTTTGTAATAATTGGTCCTTCAAATTCACATAATTTTTTTTATTTTTCTAATTTTGTTTGTCAATTTTTTTATTTTTAGAAACAGTGGTGACCATGTTTGTATACAGATAAGATTATAATTGTATTATCTAACAAATGTTATATTGCAAATGGTTTTTCAAATTTTGTTTAAGAATTTTTTTATCTAATTTTCTTAATTTCAGCATGGATGGTTGGAAATAAACATCCACCATAACTCTTTAAGAGTAGTGGTAAATATTTCAGTTATCATACCTCCATAAACTTAGACTTATATTTGTAGGCTCTTCGCTCAAATCTTTTAATAAGCATATATAAATCCTCTTTACTGTAAGAATCAAAGTTTGATGTTGATTCATCTATTTCACTCTCCACATCTGATGGTAATTGGTAATGGTGAGTTCCAAATGTAGTATTGTTGAAGAAAGAACTGTCACTGGTAACAGAACTGATTGATGAAGTTCTAGATCTGGATGGTCTAGGAGTTTCGTCCCCTGGTAAGTTGGATAAGGCTGATGCAAACTATAAAGTAAAAACAAAATAAATCAAAATACCAAACTTATTTACATTTCTGTTCAATGGTCAATAATTCAGTACCTTTTGTCTAAAACAAGATTTCACTTTAGACAAAATTCATGTTAATTTATTTTTATTTTTTTTGCATCATTTGCGAGAGCTCATATTTAAGTAATCTTATATTCATTTTCATTTGCATAATTTTACATATTGAAATTTGTAACCTTTATCTGTGATTTCGTGTTTTGTAAGCTAAACAAAACAGGCAATTTCTTGACTATATACTGTACAAATTCACAGTTTTTCTTAAATAGCAACTTCATTTGGAAATGTCTTGTGACGTATGAAAGGTTACAAGATTGGTGCCATAGCTTTGAGACTGAAATCCTCTACTTTTATCATATCATTAGCAATGAACATGATGAAAAGTGGGTTACTAGTGTGGTGTTTTTTTTTATTGGTACAAGGTCACTTTGGTATCAAGCCTCTATAAAATGGTAGAGATTTCCACTTCATCAAAACATTAATGTCATATTTTATTATTGTGAAGCAAAAAGAGAAGGTTTGTCAAATAAATCATTCCTCCAATAAATTCAGAAACTTTACTTCCTTTTCTAAATCTGAACTGAAATTTATGTCAATTGAAATCAACAAGTTACACTATACTGAAAGGAAGGATAGAGTTTAACTATGAAATTTATATTCAAAAGCAAGTTAAAATACACGGAAAATGGTTGGATTTTTTTAAGCAAGGATGTAATATACATGTAGCTATGAGAAAATGCATCACATGAGTTTCTTCCACCGACGCTTTCATCAAATAGTAAGACTTGGCATTGCCCGGTCTTAATCAGATAAAACAAAATAATTTCCCAGTCTCAATTGGATAAAAAATAAAGTTTTTATATATGAAATAAAAATATTTGTCTGAAGATAATATATAGCAGTATGCCCTTTTTAAGCATCAAGGCCATTATTACATTAAATAACATGTTATGGTCATTCTTGACCAGTAGCATTGTTTGATTCAATCTTTTTTAAAATCTTTATTATCCACATACATCAGTGGTATTGTTAGGAGTTCCTTCATCCTGTAGTGGTATATCCACAAGCTGACCTACAGCAGGGCTGGCAGATTGGTCTCCTAATTTCTTTGGTGTACTCTCTGCCTGTGGAATACCAAAATCCTGTCCATCACCTTTACCAGTCTGAGGACTACCTTGTTTTCCATTCTGTTTTGATGTTTCTTGCTTTGGACTTTCAGTTGTACTTGAATCATTCTACAAACAATTTGCCAAAGTTAGTACATTGTATATATGACAGTCTATTGGAACAGAGGTAGTACCCTGTATATGTAACCATAAATTCTGTTTACATTATGACCAGTGTTAACTTTCTTTTTTAAGGATGTTCGCTACTCTGTTTCAAAATAACAAGTTTTTTAAAAGACTGTTATAAATTGATAGTATATAAATAAAGAAACTAAACTAGAGGCTCTCAAGAGCCTGTGTCGCTCACCTGATTCTACTTTGGTTTTGGAAATCATGTAAAAATAGACTAAAATTCGTAAGGGTTAAGCGGGACCCAGTGTCTCGCCTACTTTTGCTGTTAATCGCAGGCTCAACAAAAATGAGGAAAAAAAATCAATAAAAATACTCCTTTAGATACTATCTTTTGATTGTAAGAAGCTTCTGTCAAAGTTTGGTATAAATCCAGGATAGTTTATGAATCTAATAAATGTTTTAAAAACTTTAACTGCAGACTGTATTTAATGTTAACTGGAAGAAAAACTAAGTCCATTTATAAGTAAAATATGGATAAACAGGTACAAATTTTAACAAAATTTCCTTCTAGATACTAGCTTTTGATCATAAACAAGCTTCTGTCCAAATTTGGTACAAATCCAGGATAGTTTAAGAAAGTTATTAAAATTTTAAAAACTTTAACCAGAGTGAAAATATTGTTTCCTGGCAGAAAAACTAAGTCCATTTATAAGTATAATACGGAAAAAATAAATTTTTTTGTTTAACAAATTTACTTCTGGATACTATCTTATGATCATAAACAAGCTTCTGTCCAAGTTTGGTACAAATCCAGGATAATTTAAGAAAGTTATTAAAATTTTAAAAACTTTAACCACAGAGTGAATGTAATGTTTCCTGGCAGAAAAACTAAGTCCATTTACAAGTAAAATACGGAAAAACAGGAATTTTATTTTTACAAAATTTACTTCTGGATACTATCTTATGATCATAAACAAGCATCTGTCCAAGTTTGGTAGAAATCCAGGATAGTTTAAGAAAGTTATTAAAATTTCAAAAACTTTAACCACAGAGTGAATATTTGTGGACGCCGCCGCCGACGGAATGTAGGATCGCTATGTCTCGCTTTTTCGACTAAAGTCGAAGGCTCGACAAAAATCATAACAGATACCCTAATAATGAGTGAGGCCAAATTTGGTTTAATATTGGTCCTGTAATTTAATAAAAAATCCTGGTGGCCATCTTGAACAGTAAATCGGCAACAAAGTAGCAACACTTAATCAGCACCTCATAAGAAACATTTATGCCATGTTTTGGTTTCATTCCATTCAGTGCATCTCTAGAAGAAGCATTTGTATGTATTTCCCATAGGGTCTTATGTTAAAGGAAGTCCCCCCATTGGCGGCCATCATGGATGAAGGATCAGCTTCAAAGTAACAAAACTTAGTCAGCACCTCATAAGGAACATTCATGCCATGTTTGGTTTCAATCCATTCAGTATGTGGTTCTCTAAAAGAAGACATTTGTATGTATTGTCCATAGGGTCCTTTGTTAAACATTGTCCCCATCTGGCAGCCATCATGGATGAAGGATCAGCTTCAAAGTAACAACACTTGGTCAGCACCTCAAAAGGTACATGCATGCCATGTTTGGTTTCATTCCATTCAATGGTTCTCTAAAAGAAAACATTTGTACATATTTCTCATAGGGTCCTATGTTAAACTAAGTCCTCCGCTGGCGGCCATCTTAGATTATGGATCGGCTTCATAGTAACAACACTTGGTCAGCACCTCATAAGGAACATTCATGCTATGTTTGGTTTCATTGCATTTAGTGGTTCTCTAAAAGAAGACATTTGTATGCATTTCCCAAAGGCTCCTATGTTAAACTAAGTCCCCCGCTGGCGGCCATCTTGGATGATGGATCAGCTTCAAAGTAACAACACTTGGTCAGCACCTCATAAGGAACATTCATGCCATGTTTGGTTTCATTCCATTCAGTGGTTCTCTAAAAGAAGACGTTTGTATGTATTTCCCATAGGGTCCCATGTTAAACTAAGTCCCCTGCTGGCGGCCATCTTGAATTATGGATTGGCTTAAAAGTAACAACACTCGGTCAGCACCTCATAAGGAACATTCATGCCATGTTTGGTTTCATTCCATTCAGTGGTTCTCTAAAAGAAGACATTTGTATGTATTTCTCACAGGGTCCCATGTTAAACTAAGTCCCCTGCTGGCGGCCATCTTGGATTATGGATCGGCTTCAAAGTAACAACACTCGGTCAGCACCTCATAAGAAACATTCATGCCATGTTTGGTTTCATTCCATTCAGTGGTTCTCTAAAAGAAGACATTTGTATGTATTTCCCATAGGGTACAATGTTAAACTAAGTCCCCCGCTGGAGGCCATCTTGGATTATGGATCGGCTTCATAGTAACAACACTCGGTCAGCACCTCATAAGGAACATTCATACCATGTTTGGTTTCATTCCATTCAGTGGTTCTCTAAAAGATGACATTTGTATGTATTTCCCATAGGGTCCTATGTTAAACTAAGTCCCCCGCTGGCGGCCATCTTGGATTATGGATCGGCTTCAAAGTAACAACACTCAGTCAGCACCTCATAAGAAACATTCATGCCATGTTTGGTTTATTCCATTCAGTGGTTCTCTAAAAGAAGACATTTGTATGTATTTCCCATAGGGTCATATGTTAAACTAAGTCCCCCGCTGGCTGCCATCTTGGATGATGGATCCGCTACAAAGTAACAACACTTGGTCAGCACCTCATAAGAAACATTCATGCCATGTTTTGTTTCATTCCATTCAGTGGTTCTCTGGAAGAAGTTCAAAATGTAAAAAGTTATCGGCGACGACGGACGACGCGTGATGAGAAAAGCTCACTTGGCCCTTCGGGCCAGGTGAGCTAAAAAGCAGAAAAAAATGAAGGGTCCGTGTGCTTCTTTTCGAGATAAAAGCCATTGAAAATTTGGCGGGAAATAATTCTCTCTAGATTTTTCATACATTTAACATTGGCACCTTTTTTCTTTCAAAAACGATGAAAAAATAACAAGGATTTTATAAGATTTTCAAAGATGACATTTTAAACTATATTTAATCAAATTATGGAAAGAAAAGTAGAGGTTAGTGGGCAAAATTTTTAATGACACTACATGGATAAAACCAGAGGATTCCGAATATCTGGCAAAAATTCAAAAACAAGAGGAGCAAACATCCTTAAGACATTTTTCGGTTACAAAAAGACCATATAAACATGTGGGACCTTTGGCATGAAACAGGTGGAGTCCTGCTGGAATTTTGCTGTATTAAATTGATTAACTTTGCGATAAACATATCTATATAAAATAAAATCTTGTCAAGTAAATCAATGTTTACAAATAATTGAATATTTTTAAAAAAAACATGTAATAAACATGGAGGCAATCAATACAAAATAAAAAAAAACAATATAACATATTACAATGCAATCATTTTGTACATTTCATGTGTGTAAGAAAAACTGAAATAAAAAAAGTTGGCATTTTAACTAGGATAGTTTTAGAGAGAGTTGTTGAAATCAGTTGATATTACAATAAAATGCTCCGCAGGGCGCAGCTTGATACGACCGCAGAGGTCGAACCCTGAACAGTTGGGGCAAGTATGGACACAACATTCAAGCTTGATACAGCTCTGAATTTGGATTGTGATTAAATATTTGACACAGCATAGGTTTCTGACACAGAATGAATGTGGTCTAAGAACTTAAAAATTTTAAATTGGACATTCACCTATTATGGTCCAATATCCAAAATCTAAATACATGGTTAGATTCAGCATATCAAAGAACCCCAAGAATTCAATTTTTGATGAAATCAAACAAATTTTAATTTTGGACCCTTTTGACCTCAATGTGGACAAAGTTGATAACGGGGCCCAAAAATCAAAAATCTAAATACATGGTTAGATTCAGCATATCAATGAACCCCATATATTCAATTTTTGTTGAAATCAAACAAAGTTTAATTTTGGACCCCGATTTGGACCAACTTGAAAACTGGGCCCATAATCAAAAATCTAAATACATGTTTAGATTCAGCATATCAAAAAACCCTAAGAATTCAATTTTTGTTAAAATCAAACTTAGTTTAATTTTGGACCCTTTGGACCTAAATGTAGACCAATTTGAAAACGGAACCAAAAATTAAGAATCTAAATACATGGTTAGATTCGGCATATCAAAGAACCCCAATAATTCAATTTTTGATGAAATCAAACAAAGTTTAATTTTGGACCCTTTGGACCTCAATGTGGACCAATTTAAAAACGGGGCCCAATATCCAAAAACTTAATACACGGTTAGATTCAGCATATTAAAGAACCCCAAGAATTCAAGAATAAAATCCCATTGAAATTGGTCAAGAGATAAGCAATTTATACGAAGTATCTTCTTTTGCACAATACTGTGCAATTGAATATTTCTTGCTATTGCGCAATACTGCACAATTGACAATTTCTTGCTATTGCGCAATATTGTGCTATTGGATATTTCTTGCTATTGCGCAATACTGTGCAATTGAAGATTTCTTGCTATTGTGCAATATTGTGCAATTGAAGATTTCTTGCTATTGTGCAATAGAAAATTTCTTGCTATTGCACAATACTTTTTATATATAATAATTTACACATCCTGTTTGGTGTGTATCTCCTACCATATCATTATTATTTGCTTTTAAATATAAATCAGAAATAACCAACTTAAAATGGAAATTTTTAAAAGAAAAAAAAAAGGAAATAAAGAAAAAAAAAAAAAAAAAAAAATCCCCCCCCCAAATTTTTTGAACCCCCTTATGATTCATCACCCCCAAACTCAATCCCAGCCTTCCCTTTGTGGTATGGTACCTTGCAGTACAATTTCAGAGAGATCCATACACTTGAACACAAGTTATTGTCTGGAAACTAGAAAAATGTGTTTTTTGGCCCCCAATTCCTAAACGTTTCGGGCAATTACCCCCAAACTCA